ATGTTTTCCCGCCAACAATTTAACGCCAAAAAAATTACGGAATCACTTTTCCCGCAAAAAAATTTTTTGGCGGGAAAATTTTTTGGCGGGAAAAAATTTTACGGGAAAACTTTACAAGGTATTTTAAAGGTTTTTTACAAGTGTTTTGGCGGGAAAAATTGAGGGCTCACTTTTCCCGCCAAAAAATATTTTGTATTTTGTGGACCTAATTTTGTTATATTTCCTTATATATTTGTGATATCTTTTATTAAAAGAAGAGTAATTTAGCCATTTTGTACATAAAAAAGGGTATTTTTAAAAATGGACAGCCAAAGGAGGCATTTTTAAAAAGGGGTATTGAAAAAGGGGCATTTTTGTGAATCTCCAAAAAAAAAAGACAATAGGATGTCGGGTAAAAGTAGGACTCATGATCATTGTGATCCATGTTTATTTATAGTTTTAGGTTCGTCACTTCATACATACAATACAACATTCACATATGCTCTTATATATGCTCTCACATCGATAATTGTTTCGATTATATGCTCTCACTTCCATATATTTTTCTTCTTAATCAAACTTTTCGTTTTCTTTGCAATTTGTACAATAAATGTGTGATTCGCCGAATTAAAATGAATTTAATTAAAATTTAATTAATATCGATATGGTCTCCAAAAAATTAGCATCATCAGCATGACAGCCTTCCATATTCAACTCCTCTCTTAAATCATGAACCATGCTCCTCAAGTTATTATTACGATAAATATTTTTTAAAATTTTAATAACTTACTATACTGTTAAATAACTAATTGAAATGCGTCTACTAGTACCATATAAATATATAAATAGTTGCAGTACAGGTTTAATTATTGTATATATTTTTGGATAATGTGAAACCGGCGCATTTGCTCGTTGATTTATTCGTAATCCAGAAGTTAGTAAATTGATTATTCAATTGTGGGTTTCTTATGGACCATCCAAGTGGATAAATAAGAGAACAATTTGATTAGGAATCTAATGATGTTTCAGTCCACTCTATTCATTTAACTTATCAGGAAATAGCCAAAATGCGACGTCGGACATTTTAAACTTGGCAAGACCTAATTGTGGAGGAAAGCTGATGACTCACCAACACACACACACACACAAAAAGGCCTAATTGTTGAGGAAAGTTAACAATGTGTAGCATTATTGGTCACATTACATGTTATCCCAAAAGCACAAAACCTGATACTTATTTAAGTTCCTCCCACATAAATATATGTCTTTAACCGTGTTAATACGAGATTTTAAGGTTTATATGCTAAACTTAGAGGATATTTTTGTGCTACTTTTGAGCATCTCTAAAATTGTTTATAGTGTTATTCATAAACATGGTCATATATGGAGGACATTCAAGTATTATAAGATTTAAGATTTTATACTACTTTAGCTTTAATATACTGACATTAAACCTTGTAAGTAGTTTACATGTTTAAAACTGCTCCTCATCTTCCACTTTATATTATTTACATTGAGCAGAATGTGACACATCTTCCCCCTCCCAATATCATCACATAAAATGCAAATTATTATTATTATATTAATAGACCGGCTTCACTTTTGTTTTAACTATGTATATACCTCTAATATATATATGTTGTTCTTACACTAATATATTTTATATCTATAGATTCTAATTAGGGGACAATGCACCAAACAATTATTCGATAAAGATGCGAAAGTAATCATAGAGTAGCTCGACGGAAAATATAAGTCCAAAAACTTAGAACCAAAAGTGAGCACCCTTTATACAGTGTTGAAAAGGAAGATATTTAATAAAATATAATTTAGCATATCTTTATAGCTCCAAAAAAAAACAATAATATGGAAGAATTGCATATACTTGTGGAGGTCGAAACTAACACAATCAAGATTTGTCTAGGGTTTTATTTTAGGGATACGATAATCGTGAATTCTCAAAGAACAACAGAAACGATTGATACCAAAGATGGTGTTCTTGATATTATTAATGAAAAGATGATTTTGATCGTACAAGAGTTTGATCGTAAAAGAAAAAGTGTTCGTGCTGTGAGAGCTTTGCGTAGTGTACTTTCTAGAGCGATATTGCTTGCCTTCTGCGAGAGCCTTGAGTCTCTTTATATAGGGGTGATGAACCGCCTCTCCAGCGATATTCTCGGAAGATTTCCATTTATCTTGAAGTCGGCTTAGAATATCGCGGATTAGGATAGTTTCCTTATTCTTCGGAGTCTTTTGGAAGATTTCCTGATTTGAGTTGATCCTTCGAGATTCTTCCTTATCATTTCCGAGTTTATCGGAAATGATCCTTCTTTTTCGGAAATGATAATATGCTTGGAAATGATACCTTTAAAGAAGAATATTTACTAAGTCTTTGCTTCGGGCGACGATGAAGACTTCGCCTCGGGGAACTTGTGCAACTGGCTCGGGTACACAGGAAGAAACGGCTCGGGCACTCTAGGATGGCTTCTTCGGGTGTCCCCGAGGCGATGGGCTCAGAAACTCCCGAGGCGATGGGCTCGGGTACCCCCGAGGCAATTGGGCTCGGGTGCTTTCGATGTCTTGTTCGGGATATCCCGAGGTGAATGATGCGATACCCCGAGGCGATCGCCGAAAGACTCCCGAAGTATTCTAAGTCTGGCTTGGCGCTAAAGGATGGAATCCGACCCCAACAGTTAGCCCCCCAGCTCGTTAGTTTGGAGGGCCGAGCGTGACGAGCTGTGACAATTAGGCCGAGCCGTTTACTTTGAATAGTTCGGTCCCTTTAGCGGTTTGAATTCCTCTGTCGTTTCATCTTCTCTTGGCGTGTGACGGTTGGGATTCCTTCTCGAGAAGTGGAAAGGTCCTTTCGCTGATTCCCGAGATTGGTGCGGATGCGAAGTATCTTATTTGATTTGTGCGTGCCCGACGCGCCTTAGACGCGAACGCGATGTTTTTATTTGGTTCGTACCCGACGCGCCTTAAGTCCCTATAAATGTTAAGTCTCGGACTCATTCTCTCATTTCGCAACTGCAAAGGAAATTTTTCGAGGTTCGTTCTCTTCTTTCTCTGATCTTGAGTTTTTTTGCATTTTCTCTATTTTTCCGTTATACTTCCGTCGTAGCGCCGCCGTCATTAGATCTAGGTTGATTTCTCCGATCTATCGGGCTTTGTTCCTCCGATAAAATTCTCCAATCTCCCGAGCCAGAAAATGTCTCTATCTGATTCCAGCGATTCGCCCCGAGGCGACATTCATCTTCCCGTCTACAAGAGAAAGATGGTCTGGAGTTCCTCGAGCGACCCCGAGGCGGATACCACGGACCATCAGATCGTGTTGTACCGTGGAAGTGATGCAGAGTCGGCTTCGCGGGAAGAAGACCCGAGCCGTTTCATCGCTCGGGAAGATGCGGTTGCAGATGTGGCTCGGGATCAGGATTTGCCTGATGATCCCGAGGCGACTTTAAGCAGGAGGAAAGTCCATCCACCGGCAGCTGATGAAGCTGGGGTTTCATGCTGGCGAAATGCCCCCGAGGCGCCTCTACTTCCTGTTAAGGCCGAGGAGGTTCACTACGATTCTGACGAGGCGGCTAGGTTGCTCCAAGCTAAAATCCAAGCAGCCAAGGGTCAACAGAAGAGAAAACGAGCCAAAAAAGCTAGGAAACCTGATCCTCCGGGTTCCACTTTATGCACGGAGGATTCGCTTCGGGATCTCAAGGCTCGATTTGGTTTTAGTGAAGGGATTGAACTAAGACTTCCAACTTCGAATGAGCGAGCGGATGATCCACCCGAGGGGTTTTTCACCCTTTATGAGGGGTTCTTCTACCATTGCTACTTATAGATTCCGATTCCGAGGCCTGTATTGGCGTTTCTATGGTCGTACAAGATCGCTCTGTCTCAGATCACAACCCGAGGCTTGCGCCATCTCATAGGGATTCTAGTCCGGAGTATTGAGACGGTCAACCTTGTCGGCCTTAGCCACTTAAGGAATCTCCTAGAGATTCGGCGCATACCTGGCCCCGTCGAGAGATTTTACATATCCCCGAGGCCAAATAGAAGGGTTATTGGTGGTTTCCCGAGCAAGGACGAGAAGTACACTGACCATTTCTTCTTCGTAGCCTTGAATGAGTATAGTGTCCACGAGGACTACTTAGGGAAAGTTGTTGGAAAGTGGAGAACGATTGGTACTACGCCCGAAGCCATACTTGATGTTTTGTTTTGCTTTGAACTTCACTAAATATTTTCTTGTTTTCGCAGATCGGAATCCGTCATTTCTCGAAGACGTCCCCGAAGGCTTTTTAGATCTGCACGACGAACTGATAGCTCGGAAGTGTGATTGGACGAAACACTTCTCCCAAGAAAGAATTGAGAGAGCCTTGCGTTTGTTGCACGGAGCTCCCTGCCAATCTTCTTCAGAATCATCCGACCACCGTCTAGATCACCTCATCGAAATGCAAGGAGCTGCGCAATCTCTGAGAGCCAGGAAGGCTGCTGAAAAGAAAGCGGCTAAGGAAAAAGCCGTTTTGGAGGCAAACTTCAGACCTCCTACTCCTCCCGAGGCCAGTCTTGAAGTCGTCGGCGTCGAGGCGACCAATGAAGCTCGGGATATGGTTTCGATCATGCCCGAGGCGGCTGAGCGAATCTCTCCTGTGACCAATATTCCCGAGGTGGTAGGGACCTCGGCTATTGTCGCTCTTGGTGCCGAGGCGAAAGCTAAGGCGAAGGTTAAGAGGCCCCGAGGTGATAGCTCGGGAGGTCGTAGGAAAGAGAAAAGGAGTCGCACCGAGGCTCCCATCTACAAAGATAAGACGGCATCTGCTAATCTTATCGCTTCTTGCTCGGGTCCGACCCTAGCTGCGCCCGAGGCCTTGCTGGAGGCTGAAAATTACCGCGAAACTGCTGCGGGATTCCTGAAGGTAATGGTTTATTTCCGAAGCTTCCTAAGCCTTTTAAAATTCTTAGTACTAACTTTAGTTTTTTGCGTTCCAGGCTTTCCATTCGATGAACCGCATGGTTCGAGCCTACGACTCCTCGAACCGTAGATATGAGACTTCCCGAGCCGAGGCGGAGGTCAGAATTGCTGGGGCCGATGCCAAGATGGCCGAGGCAGAGGCCAAGATTGCCGAGGCGGCGACTAAGGTTGCCGAGGCGGATGAGGCCAGGCGGGAAGCCGAAGCGTTGGCTAAGGCAGAGAAGGTCGAGCGATTAAAGGTGGCTGAGGACGGTCTTCGTCTTCGTCGGAAGATGGAAGCCGAAATCGAACGCTTGAACCGACTATTCTCCGAGGAGAAATCGCTTCGGGAGAAGGAGGTACGTCGGGAGAGGAAAAAGGCTAGGAAGGAGTTCGCCAAGAAGGTCAAGGCGATAGAAGCGAAGATGGACCTGTATGGGAAGGCGTCCGAGCGCTACATGTTCCTCGTCCAGGCCAGAGCTAACGCTGAATTGATCGCCGACCTTGAAGGCGGCAAAAATGTCGAGGATGAGAAGGAGGAAGTTCTCCAGTGGAAAGCTGAGTATGGAGATGCCGAGGAGGAGTTTGTGCGGATCGGAACCGAGCTGCGAGAGGATCTGAGGCTTCCTCCGGCTTCCCCGGATTCTGTTGAAGATAATTTCGGAAACAGGTCAATCGAAGGGGTTGCCGCGGAAATTGGTATTAGGGATCAGGCCGGCACGAATCTGAGCTCCGAAGTCGCACATGTTCCGGAGGAGCGGGATGAGTAGATCCGTGGCGCATTCCTTTTAATTCTCGATTTTTGTAAGACTTGATGCCTGGACGGCTTTATCCACTATTGATAATGAATATATTTTGTTCTCGATAAATTTCTAGTCTCAGAGCTTTTCGAATCACTTTTCGAACCAAGCAAATCGTGTACCAGTGTTAAGTAAACCGGGTTTTGGTAAGTAGGACTAATCTTTGTCGGTTGCGACCCGAGCTGATATAGTCGATGCCAGTGCTTAGAAGCGAACTGGGGTACCAGTGTAGAAGTGAACTGGGTTTTCTGAAGACAACTTCTTTATGGGAGGATATCTCCTTCCGAATTGTCTTGGATGCTTATATAGCGCGCTGTAACCGTAGAGGTGTAGATGAATTTAGTTCGCGGGCGTGGCCATCGCCCAAACGAAACGAACGGAGTTTAGACCGTGTTGATTTCCCGAGGCGAGTTTCGGGGTAAAGACCGAGGTGGATTTGATCGGATAAAAACCCGAAGTGTATACTTAGAAATATAGTTTGATAAAATTTGAATAGGAGTATAGGAAACGTATAATTGATAAAGTTTTGAGTGGGAGTATGGATATACGGACCCACTCCCCCCCTTTTTTAATTAGGGGGGGTAGCTGAACTCGTCCGAGGACGAGCTGCCTACGTACCCTTTTCAGGGATCAAGTCACCCCGTAGTTCGAGTACATGCGTACCTTAGGTTTTTAGCGGTAGTATTTCCTTAGATGCATTGCGTTCCAGGATCTAGGTACCGCTTTGCCGTTCATGTTGATGAGTTCGTAGACGCCGGGACGGATTACCTTTGCGATCGCGTAAGGTCCCTCCCAATTCGCGCCGAGTTTGCCTGCGTTCTGCTCGGCGGTATTCTGGAAAACTTTGCGCAGTACGAGATCTCCTTCGTGGAAACGGCGATGTTTAACGTGAGAGTTGTTGTACCGAGCCGTTGCATTCTGATAGTTCTGCATTCGAACCAAGGCCGAATCTCTTCTTTCGTCAACTAAGTCCAGCTCGTCCAGCATCATCTGCGTGTTGGAATTTTCCTGCTCGGGGAGAAAACGTCTCCTTAGTCCCGGGATCTCGGCTTCGGTGGGAATCACACACTCCGTGCCGTAGACAAGGGCGAAAGGTGTTTCTCCCGTGGCTCGCCGTGGCGTGGTTCTGTGTGACCAGAGTACTCCTTCTAATTCGTCGGCCCAGCGGCCTTTCTTTGCGTCGAGGCGCTTTTTTATTCCGTCGAGAATCGTCTTGTTTGCCGCTTCGGCCTGTCCGTTCCCCTGAGGATACCGAGGCGTAGACTTGCTGAGGCGAATTCCCCATTTCTCGCAGAATCCTTTGAACCGAGCCGAAATAAACTGCGATCCGTTATCTGTAACGATCTCGTAAGGTATCCCGTGGCGGCATATGATGTTCTTCCAGACGAAGTTTTCGACCTGCGCGTCTTTGATGCTGGCGTAGGAGTCTGCCTCGATCCATTTGGAGAAGTAGTCTGTTAGTACGAGGACGAGTTTCTTCTGTTTGGAGTTGTGTAGAGGTCCGATGATGTCCATGGACCATCGCATGAACGGATAAGGCGAAGTGATGGAAGAGAGGAGCTCGGCGGGTTGATGAATGGTTGGTGCGTGCCTCTGGCATTTATCACACCGTTGAGAGAATTTCTCGCAGTCTTTGACCATCGTCGGCCAAAAATATCCGTGGCGTTTGATCTTTATGGCTAGGGCTCTCCCGCCGGAATGGTTTCCACAAGATCCGCCGTGTACTTCTTCCATGACTCTCCGAGCTTCGTTTCCTTCGACACAGACAAGGAGAGGACCAGAAAATCGCCATTTAAAGAGCTCTCCGTCGATCAGAGTATACCGAGCCGCTTTGGCCTTAAGCTTCCGAGCTGCCCATTTTTCAGTAGGAACTTCTCCGTCGGCGATGTAGCTTCGGATGGCTCCGATCCATTTGGCGTCGCTTCCGTATTCGGGCTCGGTTGCGTCCGTAGTTTGCTGGTCCAGCTGTTCGATGTCCATTTCTTCCGGTTCTTCCGTTTCCCGAGCTGTTAGAACTTGATCTTTGCTATTATCTTCAATGCTCGGCTTTTCGATGAACTCAACCGGTATGATCCTCTTCAGATTTGGGTCGGAGGTTGAAGCTAGAGCCGCTAAGGCATCGGCCGATGTGTTCTCACCTCGTGGGATTCTGTTCAACTCAAACTCTCCGAACTGTTTCGCCAAGTCTTGCGTGAGAGCAAGATACGCTTCCATTCGTTCGTCGCGAGCCGCGTATTCTCCATTGAATTGATTAGCCACGAGCTGGGAGTCGCAAAAGGCTCGCAGCTTGTTGATCTTAAGTCCCCGAGCCAGCTTAAGTCCTGCTATCAGCGCTTCGTACTCAGCCACGTTGTTGGTCGCGTCGAAATTTAGCCGAAAGGATTGTTCAAGGATTTCACCCTCTGGTGATGCGAGGCGGATTCCGACGCCAGAACCTTGTTTTGAGGATGAGCCGTCGACGTGGAGGATCCAAACAGCGTTGGGTGACTCTTCTCGGACGTTCTCTGTTGGCAGCTCGATGATGAAATCGGCCAGGACTTGAGATTTCGCGCATGTTTTGTTTCTGTATTCGATGTCATATTCGCTGAGTTCTACTGCCCACTTGGCTAAGCGTCCCGATTGGCTTGGACTGTGCAAGATGGTTCGGAGCGATACGGGCGCCATGACGACAATCGAGTGAGACTGGAAATATGGCCGTAGCTTCCGAGCTGACATTACTACGGCGAGGGCGAGTTTTTCAGTTTGCGGGTAGCGTGTTTCCGCGTCGGTGAAAGTTTGCGAGACGTAAAAAATCGGCTTCTGCTCCCCTCTGTCTTCCCTGACTATGACTCCGCTTATAGCCGTGTCGGAGACTGCGATGTACAGGAATAACGGCTCGCCCGGGATTGGTTTCGCTAACACCGGTGGATTAGCCAAATACTTCTTCAGTTCCTGGAAAGCTTCTTCGCAGCGATCGGTCCATTCGAATTTATTGTTCCCGCGCAGAGTATCGTAGAAAGCCAGGCATTTGTCAGTGGATCGCGAGATGAATCGGTTCAAGGCTGCGACTCTCCCGGTGAGACGTTGGACTTCGCGCTTGTTCTGCGGTGAGGGCATGTTTAGTAGAGCATCGATCTGTTTCGGGTTCGCCTCGATGCCTCGGTGTGTTACGAGATATCCCAAGAATTCTCCAGACTTTACCGCGAAACGACATTTTGCCGGGTTAAGCTTCATGTTGTGCTTGTTGAGCTGACGGAAACAGTCGCATAGATGGGCTATGTGGTCGCTTTCTTCAAGAGATTTGACTAACATGTCGTCGATATAAACTTCCATCGTCTTCCCGAGCTGTTCGGAGAACATTCTGTTGACGAGTCGCTGATACGTCGCGCCGGCGTTCTTGAGTCCGAAGGGCATGACTTTGTAACAGTAGATACCTCGGTCTGTGATGAATGCTGTCTTCTCGCGATCGTCGGGGTGCATGAGAATTTGATTGTATCCTGCGAAAGCGTCCATGAATGATAGCAACTTATTTCCCACGGTTGCTTCCACTAAACGATCGATATGTGGGAGCGGAAAACTGTCTTTAGGGCAAGCTTTGTTCAGATCGGTGAAATCGACGCAAACTCTCCACTTGCCGTTCTTCTTTTTAACCACGACAGGATTTGCTAACCAGTCCGGATACCTTGCTTCAGAGATCGAGCCGATCTTCAGGAGTTTTTCAACTTCGGCGTTCACTGCATCTGCGCGATCCCGACCCAATTTTCTTCGCTTCTGCTTGATGGGCTTGAAAGATGGGTCAACATTCAGCTCGTGGCAGATTACGTCGATGCTTACCCCAGGTAGATCTTCAGCCGACCAGGCGAAGGTGTCGATGTTCTCCTTGAGGAATGAGATGAGCTCGGTCTTGAGCTCCTCGGTTAAGTCGCTGCCAAATTCCACACATCGTTCGGGCCGTTCGTCGTCGAGGCTAATGGAGATTACAGGATCCGAGGTAGGCTTCTTCTCCTCGCGCGCCTCCTCGATCTGTAATTGCTATAACTGTTTAGATATAGCCTTCTCTTCACTCCGGCCAAGTTTCGATTTCTTGTGATCCGTTTCAGCTTTTACTTCAGTGACAGGGTTTCGGAGTTTGTGTGCTGCCATGAAACACATCCGAGAATTTTTCTGACTGCCCCAAATTGTTTTCACGCCATTAGGGGTCGGGAACTTGACACACAGATGATATGTTGATGCGACAGCTCGCATTAGATTTAACCACGGGGTTCCCATTATGACGTTGTAGATGGTAGGTCGATCGGTGACTGAGAAGTTGACTATCTTTGTCACCCCGCCGGCTCGGACTGGTAGTTGGATGGTCCCAAGCGTCATCAAAGTTTCCCCTGAAAATCCGAGGATAGGCCTCGGGGTCGGAATCACCTGTGACATGTCGATGTTCATTCGTTGGAGCGTTTCGCGAAAGATCACGTCAATGGTGCTGCCGGTGTCAATTAACACTCGGTAAATATCGTGGTCTCCTATCGCTAATGTGACGACGATTGGATCGTTATGAGGCATGTCGAGCCCGTTTGTCTCGCTCTCTTCGAATGTGATCACGTCGTTAGGTCGATCGAAGGGTCTTGTCCAGTTGCTAGGTGTCTCGGCTCGGCGTTGATAAGCTTTGATTGCCGCTACAGTGTCAGGACAGTATGGCGATCCACCCATTATAGTAAAAACCTTCTGCCGCGTACCATCTCGGTCTTCGTCTTCCGATCCCCGGGTTCTTTTCTGAGACTCCTGGTTCCTTGGTTCGGGGTCTCTTCCTGGGTTGGTCTGCTCGGGCTCCGGTTCTGGCTCGAGATCCTTAAGAGTAACGTTTGTCCCGAGCTCTCCAGCTAGGAATTTGGTTGCTAACTTGGCTCCGAGGCTTCGGCATCTCGAGGTATGATGGCCGAAAATTTTGTGGTGTTCGCAATATTCTTGATCATTGCTCGGTGGCTGATCCCTTGTCCAGGTGAAGGACTCTCTTCCCCGCCCACGGCCTCGGCCTCTGCCGCGGCCACGGCCTCGGGGTGTGTCGATTTGGTAGCTATGGTATCCTGAGAAATTGCGCCCTTCGTGATGCGTATATGTACTGCTCTCACGCGTCTTCTTCTGGATTGGAGGTGCCGCTTGGGCTTTCTCAGTTTTCTCGGTTTTCTCGGCTCGGGACGCCTGTTTCGTCGGCTCGTGCCTCTTTGCTAGTAGCGCCATTTCTTCTTCGTGGGCGACGAAATCCGAGGCTCGATGCAGCGCGTCACGAATTGTTGTTGGTTTAGACAGGTTCAACTCTTTCCTGAATTCTGACTTGTACCAGAGAGCTTTCTTCAAAGCCGAGAGAGCTGCTACATCTGTAATTCCTTCGACCTTGGCTAGCGTCGATTTGAAGGTCTTGAGGAAATCCCTTAATGGCTCGGTGGGCTGTTGAGATAAGGACCATAGATCCGCGTCGGAAGTTCCGGGGTCGATGAGCACGGAGTATTGTTTGAGGAACAATGTCGACAGCTCGTCGAAACTATCAATCGAGTTTCGTTCCAATCTTGAAAACCACTCTAATGCGGGTCCTTTTAGGTGTTCCACGAACAGTAAGCACAGACCCGCATCCTTTTCTCCGGGCTTGAACCTGGCTCGGGCCACAGATATCACGAACGATTTAATGTGGCACTTCGGGTCGGTTGATCCGTTGTAGGAGTCGATTCTGAACTTTCCCAGGTTGGACATCGTCGTCTCAGAAATTCTTTTGGTGAAAGGCGTATTCCGAGATTCTTCCAAAATTCGGTCGATGTTCGGCGCGGAGGATGAGACGCTATGTATCTGGGTTTTGACGAGCTTCATATCAGCTTCCGCCTTGGCTAGGGAGGCTCGGATCTTGCTTAGCTCGTCTTCTCTTTCGGATTCTTCGGCCCACCTTATGTTTTCTTCAGTTTCTTCGTCATCAGTAAGGTCTGTTCGCTCGGCGGAATTAGCTCCGGCTCGGGTACGCTCATCCTGAAGATCTGGCTCGTCTGTCAAGTCCACTGCGTCCGGCTCGGTGGGATCATCCTGGTCCTCGCGCCTGACATGGTCGGCTCGGGTTGCGACTCTGGTGTTGCCGGTTGGTGTCGCGAACGTGAGTCTCGTTGGGTTGATGCCAGGCAAGTCCCTCCGAGCTCGTGGTGGCCGAGTTTGGAAACGTGTGGTTTTTTGTTGCCCGCGTGTTGCGATTTCGTCGACTCGCTGCGCCAAGGTTTGGTTGGCTTTCTCTTGGTCGTCAGTTTTCTTCTGGAATTTAACCATCAGATCTTTCAGTTCGGCTAGAGTCGCTAGGATCGTCGGATCGGCGGGTTGAGGGTTCTCAGGGTTCGGAGGGTTCGGGATTCCTCCTCCAGCTGGTGGTGTCTGACGACCGTCTTCGGTCATCGTGCTTTTCAGTAATCGAGTTCTGCGTCTTAGGGTAAGAGAATTCTAAAGTATCCCCACAGACGGCGCCAAACTGTGGAGGTCGAAACTAACACAATCAAGATTTGTCTAGGGTTTTATTTTAGGGATACGATAATCGTGAATTCTCAAAGAACAACAGAAACGATTGATACCAAAGATGGTGTTCTTGATATTATTAATGAAAAGATGATTTTGATCGTACAAGAGTTTGATCGTAAAAGAAAAAGTGTTCGTGCTGTGAGAGCTTTGCGTAGTGTACTTTCTAGAGCGATATTGCTTGCCTTCTGCGAGAGCCTTGAGTCTCTTTATATAGGGGTGATGAACCGCCTCTCCAGCGATATTCTCGGAAGATTTCCATTTATCTTGAAGTCGGCTTAGAATATCGCGGATTAGGATAGTTTCCTTATTCTTCGGAGTCTTTTGGAAGATTTCCTGATTTGAGTTGATCCTTCGAGATTCTTCCTTATCATTTCCGAGTTTATCGGAAATGATCCTTCTTTTTCGGAAATGATAATATGCTTGGAAATGATACCTTTAAAGAAGAATATTTACTAAGACTTTGCTTCGGGCGACGATGAAGACTTCGCCTCGGGGAACTTGTGCAACTGGCTCGGGTACACAGGAAGAAACGGCTCGGGCACTCTAGGATGGCTTCTTCGGGTGTCCCCGAGGCGATGGGCTCAGAAACTCCCGAGGCGATGGGCTCGGGTACCCCCGAGGCAATTGGGCTCGGGTGCTTTCGATGTCTTGTTCGGGATATCCCGAGGTGAATGATGCGATACCCCGAGGCGATCGCCGAAAGACTCCCGAAGTATTCTAAGTCTGGCTTGGCGCTAAAGGATGGAATCCGACCCCAACAATACTGTACAATGATTCAGTCATATAATTCTACATATCATTTTTTTATATCTTAATATGTTGAAAATATATTTAAGAACGTTCACTAAAAAATATTATAGTTTATTGATGTTAACATTTTAGATAATTCAACAATGACAATTTATACTATTCATAAAACTTTCATAAATCAAGCTCGATTTTTTTTTTTTAATATAAAAATTCATTTATGTTTTAATTTGCAGGATAACAGTATTAAACTGGTTTGAACATTTCAAACCAACTTTTATTCCAACCAAATAGAGAAACAACAGATAGAGCGACCCCACAAACCAAGATTCCAAACCAACATTACATTCCCCATCATTGACAGCAAAATAATATTAATTCGTTAAAAAACAATTTTAAATACTAATTTGATTAATTCACTATTTACTTCACTATGTATATAATAATCCCTCACGCATGTTTCCTTTCATCTGTTGCTACCAAATTACAAACCAACCATTTTTCTTTTTCTCTTCCAAATTTTTCATGGAGAGTTCAATGAACAATGCCTTCATTATGGGAAAACATGAAACGGCGACGTTTACAGGCGACCAAAATCCAGAAGAAAGTAGCTGGACGATGTACTTTGAGGATTTCTTCGAGGCTTCTTCAAGCATAGTTGACGTCGGAGATTGCAGCTCTTCCTCCGTCTCCGATGCAGCGTCGTTCGTGGCCACTAAGAAGACCCTCCACGTGTCGAAGCAAGAAGGATCTAATTTGGACATCAAGAGGACGAGAAATAGAGAGATTCCTTTTGGTCGTCGTCATGATCTTGAAGACACTGCCTCTTCTCCTTCTCATAGCCCTAACGTCAGTCTCTCTCTCTCTCTCTCTAAATGAATATATATTGTTGTATGTATTGTTATAATGATTTTAATTACCAAATGATGTTGGTTTAGTGGTTATCGCCGAAGTGATAAACACAAAAGATCGATTTTTTACTATACAAATCATGAAAACACTATAAGACTACTTCATGAAAATTTTAAGTAGACTATAGGTATGTCATATGCGGTGAATATGATTTTTTCAGGCATTATCCATTTTAGGTTCCTTCTATATTTTTCTAAGAACGTGATTAATTACTTCTTTTTTTTCGTTTTGCACAAACAGTCGACGACCAACTATATATATTGTATATGAGTAAATATGCCATGATACAAATATATAAATGGGATATCTATATTAGTCCTATGCTGATTATATTTTTTAGGACAATATTGGATTGATGATAAGGTTAGACGTCAATGATAGGGAATAATTTATTTTTCTTTTTGCCAAGAGAGGCAAGCAATCATTAAAATTTTGGGTTTTGACTCATAATTGAAATATACTTATAAAAATTAATCCAAAAACTTATGCACCAATCTGTGCCATGTCTTAAGTTCCTACTATTTGACATCAATGTATATAATAATCAGCTTTAACAAGTCAATTGTACATTATATTAATTTAGTCCATAAATATTTAAACAGTTATTATCTAATTAACAATTTGGGATTTTTTTTTCGTTTTATAGGTCTATAGCATGATGAACCTACAGGACAACAACACTAGACACGGGGGTGGTATTGTGGCTGATGACACAAATAATGTAAGAAACACATTAACTAGCTATAATATTTAACTTTGTATAGTTAACGTTAGAATTGATCAATCATATGTTATACGAAATATATGCGATCGATATGATATTTCTAACAAAAATTTACCCTACGATAATGTTTTGCATAGGAGAAAAGAGAGAGTGCAGTGCAAAACCAAGGTGGATTATCAATAGACTTGAAGAAAAAGGGGCTTTGTTTAGTTCCTTTGTCTATGGTCACCAATTTTCTTGGTTGATTATAAATAACAATCCTTATTCATTCTTTTGGTTTCCAATAATTTTTTTCCTTCTAGAATATTAATATTTGGTAGATTTTTTTCAGTCATATGTAATATATGTTATTCACTTAATTGTTGAGATATGCTTATGTAACAAATTACATATGGCATGTGAGTTTTATGGACATTCATATTTTTATTGGAATATATGTATATATATATTTTCGAAAATGAGTCATATAATCCTTCACACAATCATTTAGAAAAGTCTCAAAAATGTTTTTATGATTTTGTTTCGCTGGCTATGCACCATAGATCAGTTTTCTGTTTACCACATTGTTGACAAATGTGGTACTCACCTAACCGCCGTAGGTCACAAGGTGACCGTGCATAGTTATATTTTTTTTTCTCCAGACCAGATTAAAAGCCACAACGTGAGAAAGCTAGCTAGGTAAGAGGTACAAATAAACTACGGGTTTAAATAGTAACACATAAAAAACAAAAAACATTCAGTCATATTCAACTAAATTCAACAATTTTACAGTTACTATTTGCATAAAACTAAATTCAGTCAGATTTAAAAGATTTTTTCAACACTAACTAATAATACGTAGATATGTTCATTTTTGATAAAAATTCGGATAATAACGAGTACACAACTTAAAATAAAATCTTTTTGAAATTACAAATCAAATTTTAATTTTAAAATGAGTCAGATTTATGGATACAATATATGAATAATTCAGATACATAAAATCACTACCAAAATAAACAAGATTCGAATTCATTTTTGGATAATTATAAATAATTTTGGATAATATTAATAACTTTTAGATAATTTAAAATGAATTTTTAAAATTTTGCAAAACAACTCATAACTATGCTAAAACTATTATTTAAAATATCAAAATTTTCTTAATTTTCTTACTCAAACACTCATCCTCATCATAGTATTGATTAAAACAACTAGAGAACAATAGAAAAAAAAAATCAATTAGATAATCTATATTTTATTATCATGTTAATTTTTGAAATTAATTTTTCAATAATGCTTTGACAAAGGTTTTTATTAATTATTTACATAATTTTAATAGCTCAAATTTTTAATATGGAAGACTAACTCAATTTTGCTAACCAATATCTTATTTATATATAGTATTAATTTTAGTATTTATTTATTGATATAAAAGTTAACTAGACCATTATATAATTTTATCTATTTTGTGTACATAATTTTTAGTTATTCTATTAATATTCATAATTATTGAATGATATTTTTTTAGTTAAAGTTTTCATTATTTTTTAAAATTTTGTCAAAAATCACAAAAAAAAATGAGCTAGCTAGATTCAACCGTCACCATTTACAAATGTATAAATTCAACTAAATTCAGCTTAAAATCACTAAAAATTTTAACTCGATTTAACAATTCAGAGAGATTCAGTCAGATTTTCCGATTACTATTTAGACTCTACATAGGTCAGAATATTTTCTAAAGAGAATTGTTAGTGACAATTTTTTTTTTTTTCTCTTATGATATTAAATTCTTGTGTATGTAACGTTAACATTTGTTAGACTCAAAATCATTAGTTATGATATTCCAATTCAAAAGTTTTCCTTATGTTTCATGTATCTTTCATCTTTGGATTGCTAACTATTACCGGCTTTCTATTTTCTTAGCCTGCGACACATAAATAACCTTTGGAATTATGACTCACTAAATCTTTGGGTATATGACATGCCTTTCTACTATAAACTTTTCCGAATTTTGTATATTTAATACAAGATTCCCAATTGGAAACATTTAACCCTAACATGTCATGTTTAAGATATGCATATATATTGAATGTACGTGCGTGTTTAAGAACTTTTATATAGTTTCCATTTATTTATAAAGGTAAATCTCTTTTTTTTTCCCTAAAAGGTCAATCTTCTTACTCGCTATATAATTTGCCATTTCTTTAGATACAAGAGGTAATAGTAAGATATATTATTCACTAGTCGTATCTAAGTTTCCATTTTTTTGGTCAGCACTAGTATCGAACTTTTCCTTATAGTTCGAAGCTAATTATTAATATAAAACCTCTTCTTTTTGATTGATTATATTTTTCTTTCGGCTTTCAATACAGTATACACACAAAAAGGAGAAGGGAGAATGGAAGGCTTGGGACTAATGGCGTTTATAGGTTTTTTTGGCGTTTTTGGTGGCTTTATATGTTTCGCCATCTATGTATTTTACGCATATTGGGCAACAAGAGAGGATCAGGCGTAATTGGTGATTGTATAGGACGATTCGACAATGCCTATCTAGTTGTTTCATTGTTTAGTTTTCTTTTATTTTTTTTTCTGTTATTTTTTTCATAATATAGTTTACATCGCTTACATACTTTTTTTTTCTTTATCAACGACATCGCTTGCATACAATTACATTATTTTGTTCCTAAATAAAATTAGTTGTTTTTTTAAGTCTTGTGGTGGCTTAGTCTACTTTTGTCGTTTGGCTGAAACGATGAGTGACTTAAACCTCTCTAACGACTAATGTCGGAGTTGTTGAATACGTCAAAACAAGACACAACTTCACTCGGCGAAAAATCTACTATGTGGTTTATGTGACCTAATTAGTTTCTTCCAATGTTTATCAAACCTAGTTTTCTAGGGTTTTGGAGAATAAAAAACAAATAAAGACCGAACCAAATCAAAAATACTTAAACAGAAGCTAATTTTGTCACCGGTTTTAGTTCTAACAAAAACTAAATCATCCAACACAATTGCTTCAAATCGGATGGAAACCAAACTATTGAAGTATAGAATTCCGGTTATGTTAACTAGTAATTAGGGTTTAGCTAGTAAACCGGGGGTTCAAACCCTCTACATAAGACTCTTTCTTATATAGAGGGTTTGACCCCGGTTTGCCCTAAACTTGACCCCGGTTTGCCCTAAACCCAAAACTTCAAACCAAAATCAAATCATAAACCGATTGACTAAACTAAAAACTATGTCAACAAACGCAACCTTGTCTCGTTTACTAAAAACGGAGGAGAGAAAGATAAATAAAGAAAGATCGATGAGCTTGACCAAACGATCAACACCTCTTAATCACCATCAAAAATGATTGCTTCTCCAGAGACCACTCAATTATTTTAAAAAAATGTAAAACGAAACATGGTTGATGATTAATTAGATTAGATTAGTAAAATAATTGCAAACCAAAAAGAAAAGTTCTGTCTTTGATCTTTTCTTTAATCTCAAAAACTGGACCCCTCTTAAAGATCTCTTTTTGTTTTTCTTTTCTTTCTTCTCCAAAAATTCGACAAAGAAAGAATTGATCTTTTGAGAGGGTTCCAGTTTTTTTTCTTTCTTTCTTCTCCAATCTTGTTTGTAGAAAAAAAAAAACCCATTTTTTGTTTGGATTTTTCATTTGATTTTCCCGGGAAAGTTTTCATTTTTATTTGTTTTTGGGGAGGGGATTGAAAAAATTAGCTAAAAAATGTGGGGAGCGTTCGCAGAACCAGCAGATTCTTATTACCAGATTCGTCCTGAGTGCAATGATGTCCCCAATACCAAATTCAAGATCAAAGTTTGTCCCTTTCCCTAATAATTTCTTCTTTTTTTCTTGGATTTTGGTTCACCATTGGATTCGTTATTAATGAATGAGATTGGCGTTTGCGATTCCCTGGGAGCTTTCAGATTCTTTTGTCTTGTTGCTTAGATTCTTCTTTCTCCCTTGCAATGAATTTTTCAGCTAAAATATTAGCATTGCTTTATTATTGTTGGCCTGATTTTTTCTTCTTCGATTTGGAACTTTTACCGATGAGAGCATTTACTAGTTATGATTTAGGCTATGACATGTTTATGTCTTATGATGCTGATTTATATATAATGGGGATTATTGATTTTAGTGCTCTTTTAGGTTTATTATTCTCATGATTGTGTTTAGAGAATTGCAGATACATCAATAGTGCTATGACTTGCTTAGAGTTAATGTTTTTCTGATGCTGATTGTTTAGGTTCACCTTTCTAGCACTGATCATGCTCAGTAGCATCACATGATTATGTTTTAGAGAACGACAGAGTCTCAATTTGCTGACACTACCTGTCCGTTTTGCTTAATTTTGTTTGTGCAGCCTGGTAAAACTCTAAGTGTAAGAAAATGGCAGGCTGCATTTACAACAGAAGGGTTCCTCGATATTGGCAAGACTCTAAGTCGAATCCAACGAGGGGTAAGTCTCAAAAACATTGTTTCCAAAGACTGCAAAATTAACTAAATTTGGCCATGCAAAAAAAATCACTTACATTTTAATCCTCTTGCTTGCCTTTTTGTCATTTCAATCAAGAAATCAAGAGTACACGGTATCAGTTGTGTTTTCTTATCATTCCAGTTCTGTTGTTTGCTTTCTTGACTGGTCTAGGGAATCCATCCATCAATTAGAGGAGAAGTCTGGGAATTCTTACTTGGTTGTTATGATCCAAAGAGCACATTTGAAGAAAGAGAGCAAATCCGACAACGTAGAAGGTGTTCTTTTTCACCCATATATAAGTTTATGAAAGATCTTATTCATCTTGCATTCGCTTTGCACTATATCTTTTTTTTTTTTTTTGAAGTATGGATATTTTCTTTCAGATTGCAGTATGCTTCTTGGAAGGAGGAATGTAAACAAATGTTTCCAGTTATCGGAAGTGGTGGATTCATTACCGCACCTGTAATTACCAACAAGGGTGAACCCATTTACGATCCTATTGTACTACAAGAAACAAATTTAGGTAAAAATTTGTATCTTTTGCTCAAGAAAACAGTAGAACAATCACCTTTCACTAGAACTTGGTAAATTACGCATTGTAATATTATCTCAGGTGCAAATGGTTCGGATTTCTTCAAAGATCTTGCAAGCCGCGGACCTTTGGACAAGAAAGTTATTCAATGGCTGTTAACACTTCATCAGATAGGTCAGTGATCGCGCGGACTTGGTCACAACAGAGAGTAGTTATGAGAGAGATAATTCAATATATCATTCAATTCATTTGCGTCAACTCTTGTTTTCAGGTCTTGATGTAAACCGTACAGATAGGACTTTGGTATTCTATGAGAAAAAGGAGAATTTGTCTAAGCTCTGGGATATTCTAGCTCTTTACGCGTGGATAGACAATGACGTTGGTTATTGCCAAGGTAAGCAGTGAAATTTAAAGAAAGAACACGGTTATCCTTTGTTCAAGCCCTGAAAAGTTGATTGATTCTTAAGTTTTGATCTATCTACTGTTTCTTCTGACTAGGAATGAGTGATCTTTGTTCCCCTATGATTATGCTTCTTGAAGACGAAGCTGATGCTTTTTGGTGTTTCGAACGGTTGATGCGCCGATTGGTACTTACGGACTTACCTCTATGTTTTGTGTTCATATAAGTTTTTCTTGACTCTCTCTGTAGTCAGATAATATTTAACTATTTCTTCTTTTTTTCAAATTGAAAGCGAGGGAATTTTCGGGACACGGGGAGATCAGTTGGAGTCGAAGCACAGCTTACTCATTTGGCTTCAATCACTCAGATTATTGACCCCAAACTTCACCATCACTTAGGTATCTACTAAAGCTTTCTCATCTCACTTTTAGTGTATAATTAATCGTTACAGGTTGAGCAAGAGAGATCTTTAAAGCCACTGTGGATCTTGAAATGCAGAGAACTTGGGTGGAGGTGACTATCTCTTTGCGATTCGAATGATAATGGTTCAGTTCCGAAGAGAATTCTCTTTTTGTGACTCCTTGTACCTTTGGGAGGTAACCTTTTTCTTCGTCTCTTTATAAACTCATAAACTCAGAAACATTGTTCTTTAACCGCACACTAATAAAGTGTGATACATCCATTACGGGGATCTTTTGCATTGAGCAGATGATGTGGGCATTAGAGTATGACCCAGAAATGTATTCTCTATATGAGGAGCCTCAATTCGAGGGAGAGAGAACCGAAGGTTCTTCCAAAGGTAAACCGAAGTCGATAAACCAATGTGGGAAGTACGAGAGAGAGAACATGAAGAATGGAGGGAAAAGTGCAGAAGGTCCTTTGCCTATTTCTGTTTTCTTAGTGGCTAGTGTTTTGAAAGACAAGAGTTCTAAGTTAATGACCGAAGCTCGAGGACTTGATGACGTTGTAAAGGTAATGCAGAGAGATCATTTTTCTTTAAGCCCTTCCATATCCAGTGAAGTCCTCTTTAATCTGTGTATTTTGCCCAGATCTTAAACGACATAACCGGAAACTTGGATGCTAAGAAAGCCTGTACTGGTGCAATGAAACTGCACAAGAAGTATCTAAAAAAGGTTTGGTTTTTTAATTACCCTTTCTCTTAAATTCTGTCACAAGTTTATACTCTTATGGGTTTATGTATGATCCTTCTTGTCTCTGATTGTTCTGTTTTTTGGTATTTCAGGCCAAGAAATAGCATTGGAGAAGATTCATGAGTAGCAGCGTTTTTGTATGTTATTATACATATTTGATAACTCACAACATCCGGCGACAAAAAGTGAATGGTCAGAGATTTAACGATTCCTTGGGTGGTGGTAATGAAGAAAAGAAACCATGCAGCCCAACTTACACAACAACTTCTCGTTGTAAACTGTTCATACAACAAATTCATGTTTGTAATCTTTGTTTCACAAAACCATGTTCACAAAAAAGGATTATCACCGATGTCATTTCTAAACTCATTGTTGCACTTCTAAGCCGGATTATATATGTAAATAAGGATGGAGTATTTGAATTCCAGGTCAGACATCAGTATATATTTTACAGTTCATAAAAGAAATGTAAACATTTGTTTTCTTTCTATTTTACAGTTTTCCTCTGTTCTCTGAATCTAAAATCATAAAACTCTTTGTTCATTCATAAGCAGAGAAACTATAGACTTTTTTTTGTTACAGATTCTAGACTGCTAAATCTATCTGATGATCAAAAGAAATGTTACAATAAGAATCAGAATCGAGGACAAGAATCCGACATTCAATACTAATCTTCTTATGAAGCTCACATTATTCACCATTGAAGAAAAACCTCTTATAGAATCCATCTCCTCCCGGAATCCATCTCATATCAAAACCAAGTTTATGATAGTTGGTAGTAAAAGGAACAACAACAGTCCGTTAGGAACAGAATAATGTTTTGTATCTTCATTGTTCCTCAGGTTTACTTAGGATGCAAGAGAAAGGAAGAGAAAAGAAAATAACTCATAATTCTAAATTTAGTCCTCAGAACATGAAGCTTATGTCCTGCAATAAGAGAAGCTATTATAATCTAAAGATTCGAAACCTAACATTCAGACATATTTTGACTTGCTACAAAACTGAACATGCCAAGGACAACTAGAAAGCTGCTTGTACTACAGCCACAAAGAAGGAGAAGAACGAGAACATACGCATTACGAATGAACGGATAAGATATTTTACACAGAAGAAACACATTTTCATTGACAAGAGGAAACAAAGAAACAAAGACACCAGAAAAAGTTCAAGACTTAAACACCTAAACTCCTTTATTGCACTCCTTCAACATCCGAAGGATCAAGGGAAATTTTTCTTAAGTTAAAACCTTTTGATTTTAAGCATCTACGGTTTCAGCTGAATCAGCAGCGGCTAAGACCAGCTCCGGGCTTAGGTTTCCAACGTTAGTTCCATCAATAGCATTTGGCAGCCCCAAAGCCTTAAGAGCAAGTTGTCCGGCCTTCTGTCCCGATATCATCATAGCACCAAATGTCGGTCCCTACACCACAACAAACTCACTCAGGACATGATCTTCAAGAACTATTGATATCAACTCAAAAATCCGTCAAGAAAATAGAAAAAGACTCACCATTCTCGGTGCACCATCGATCTCAGCAACTTCCATACCGGTAACAATCATACCAGGAACAACCTCTCTGGTCAACCTCACTATAGCGTCTTCAGCAGTGTTCATGTCCAAAGCCTTCATCCCAGGAACATGATCAATCATCCCAATACTCTTCAACCTCTTAACACCAGTAGCTCCAAAAGGACCATCATGACCACACGAGCTAACCACAATCTTCGCCTCCATAACATTGGGGTCCATGCAAGACTGTGTGTCATGGTTCTGAGCCACAAGAGCCCAGTTAGTCACCACACCACCAACTCTGTTTCCTTTCACAATCAAATCCTCAGCCGCCACAGCGTTGAAGAGCTTCACATTAGGACGAGCCAAAAGCTTGCTCATGATGGTAGACGTGAACAGAGCCGCGTGTTTAACCACAACGTAGTTGTCTTGCTCATCGTAAGCCACACCAATCTCATCAAGGAACAAGTGAGCTGGTTTGCGAACAATCTGCCATAAACACAACAATCAAACCCAAAATTGAGATTGATAGTCACAGTGATTAAGTCTAGACCTAAATCCTCCATTAAAACAGAACCAATCGCACATGCAAAAAAACAATCTAAATCTTACCATGGCGGAGAAAAGCTGACCACCGAGCCAAGCGCCACCACCAGGACTAACAGATTGCTCAATAATCGCAACTTGAACATTAGGGTTCTTACTAATCTCATAAGCACAAGACAAACCAGCAGATCCAGCACCAACGACGACGACATCAGTCTCAGCGTAAGTGATCATATCAGTCATGTACCTTCTAGTCATCTCACGAGACACGATCGATTCCTTGATCGGGTCGAACGTGAAAGCGTTCAAATCGTAACCAGCGGTTGTGGCGCGAACGGAGACTACGCTTCCAGATCGTGGTTTGAGACCGATAGAGATAGGAGCTGCGGAGATGGATGAGCCATGGAAGGAAGAATCGAAAAGTCTTTGAGGTTTGGTTGAAGAAAGAGAGAGCGTAGAAGCTATGGCAGCCATTTTTTCTTTAGGGTTCGAGTTTAGTGATGATGATGGTGAAGTGAAGAGTGGTTGTTGAGTATTTAAATTAGAAGAAGAAGAAAAATATCTGAAGATTGATGGCCACGTCAGAGATAAGGAACGAAAGGTCAGAGAAGGTCAGAGAATTTTGGTTTTTTTTTTTATTATCATGATTATTTTAATTTTTAGCCATCAATGGAAAGTAATTAACGGTTCCCTTTCTGCACGGTTCTGATTGAATGAAAAGACATTTCTTCAACAAACCCAAATTTAGTAAGTAATTAAACATAAATCCTGTGGGACATTGTTTAACCACTATTTTATAAAATTATTTGATAAATATACAATTTTTAAACTTATTTTTAAACTAATATGTATAAAAAATTAAAAATCCACACCATCATTGATTATCATATGTCTAAGATCAATACTAAAACTAGGCCAAATCAATACTAATTTAGTCTTTGATTTGATCTAGTAAAATAAAAAAATATAAAAAAATATCTCGAAGCTTTTGTCTGGAAACATCTGTAGCCAGTTGCAGTGAGTGTGTGGTGACACGAACAACAAGAAGGTGAAATATCTTTGTACGATAGAGACGGCATTTGGATTTTACTAGTGAAAGAGACAGTTCATTTATCAATATTTGTGTGTTTGTGAATTATTATTATTATTATTATTTTTTTGATAATTCAGGTAATCCTAAAAGCTTTTTAGGTCCAAAAATTAATTCTGGGGTCCGGAAAAACCAATTTGATCATTCAACTTTTGTGGTCCAAACTAAAATCTGCAATTTAGTACTTGGAAAGTACCGACCGTATCGATTCCATAACTTCAGGTTGGTACTTGTATAATTTCAAAAATATGAATCATTGTAGAGAAAAATATAATTATCTTAACAATCTGATATTATAACCTAAGCAAGAGGTGAAACAGAGTAACACGAAAACAGGGGACGAAGAAGTATGGACATAAGCCATTAAATTCGAATACCAAACAGAATGAAGAACACTAGGAAGAAGACGATTCTTATCGTCTACTCGAATCAAACCCGGAATACGCAACAAGAGATGAAAGAAGAGAATGATATGGTTTTATTATTAATATGATCCACTAGATAGCTTAGAAACCATGGATCTTGATGTTATCCTTCTTCACCAAACCAGCCTGTGATAACAGAGAAACAGTGAGATCAAACAATGATCTTTTGTAAGTTTTAGCAGTAAAACGACTCGCACAGTTATTGATTTTTACCTGAACAAGGAATGTGGAGACGTTCTTACGCTGGTCACCTTGAAGCTGTATGACCTGCAAATCAACACAAAAACATAAGCAAAACTAAAACATAGATGCTCGAATGTTCATCTAAGTTAAAGCAGAAACAAATAGCGGTTACGAAGACTTTTAAAAGCTGAAAATATGATACTTATCTACCTATGTTTGCATCAAAACGACAGAGATATTATCATCCACTTATGGATCAATGAAGATTTTTATATAACCAACCTGTCCAAGTTCTGAATCCTGAACCACAGTGCCGTTGCAGCAAAACTCTTTCTTGAGGTCTTTAAGTATTTTGGTATAGCTGTACTCTTTCTTCAGGCCCTGGACGGTTGTCAAGCTTTTCCTACCATTTCGCTGCTGGACACGGATATGAACGTACTCCTTTGTTCCGGCACCTGAGTCCTCAACATTCGCATCAGCAAACGGATCTGAAACAAGCAACAGCAAAATGGAGAAAGATAACCATTAGATTCCCATGTGATATAAATCACCACAAACAACTAGAAGAAAACGGACATGCTCGATACAATAGGTAATCAAGATCTGAAATAAGTAGTATGGACATCTAAAACAAGTATAAGAAGATCAGTGACTACAATCTCAAGTTCTGGTACAGTAGAAACATACCAAAGGCAGTGGGAACCTGGGAGTCAAGTTCAGACATGAAACTTAGTTGATTTGAGGGTAAAACTAACCGGGAAGCTGAGATCTGTACAAGAAGAAGGATAACATCCACGTTAGAATATGATAGAACATGAACATATCCAATCACAATCGATTCAATCATGAAGATAGTTAACAAAATCTTACATAACAATGATGTATAGAATCACTGTTCAAGAAAGCGCTAGGCGCTAAGCGGGCGGTGACCCAGTGCCTAGCGCCTAGAACGCCTAATCGGGGCCTAGACGATTTTTTAGGCGGTTTAGACGTTTATAACATAAAACATTATAAATATGATATTATATATAAAAGTTATATAAAATATCTATATAAAACCAAAAATTATGAAATTATAAACAAAAACTAGATAAAACATTTATTTATATTTATATTAAACAATATAAGAATATTTATAACTATATATATAAATAAAACTCTAATTGAAATTAAAAAAAATATTAAACAAAATGTATGTAGTTTTAGGTGGTCAAGGCGGTTATCTAGGCGTCGCATGAGAGCCTAGCGCCTAGTCGGGGCCTAGGCGACCGCCTAGACCGCTTTTTAGAACACTGTATAGAATAAAAGATTTTGCAAAGTGGACGAGATGGTTCATCAAGTAAGAAGCAAAACTATCATAAACCCATCTCAGAAATCATCTTAACAAACAAAATTATGCTACCAAAATTCACACGATCATCAATAAGATTTTATCACAGAACACAAATATATATGGTGTTTTATGTATAATCGAGAGATCCAAACAATTTAGTAAAAGCTGATACAGTTCAATTACATATCATATAGCAAGAAAACATCAATTGACCAAATCAAAATCATCGTTGTTGAATTCATTACAAAAAAAAAAAAAAGCTAAAAGCCAAGATCTTCTTCTCTGTCGGAATCAGATACAAACACGAAGGATTTGAAACATAATTTTCAATTCAATCTCTATGAATCAAAATCGAAAACCAAATTGATGTAATCAAAATTTATCGAAGAACTCAAATTCAATCACAGATCGGTAAAAGAAAACGAAGCAAGAGACAAACGGTGATCGAAGAGAGATAAAGGGAGAAACTTTTTACCTGATTTGTAAAATTGGGGTTTCGAAGATCTGATGATAATCTGTGTTAGAAGAAAAAGAAAACCCTAAATTTGGATAAAGTCTGCAACTTGCGTTTTGTTCTCTCGACGGTGAGAAAATAAAAAGACAAGAGGTATTAATATTTAAATAACCAATGATGTCCACGTCGGATTTACCTGGACCAATCATATGACGACACCTCAATGCTACTTTTGTCTTATTTCTTCATGAGGCAAACCAATAGATATCGAAAAAAACTCTGATTTAAGTGACATCGTAATACAATTAACTCTTGTCACATAAGAACACTAAGAAATGGAATAAATGGTTTTGTACCAAAACATCAACCAGTATTTAGTTTCATAGCTTATGGTTTTGTGTTTACGAAGAAAAAGATAAAGCTAAGAATTGTAGAGAAAGAGACTACAAACAGTAATTAGTTTCTCTTTGAGGAAGAGGGAAGATAAGAGATTGACATTTATTCATCATCCTTGTAAGGATATTCCTCAGCGACTTGTTTCAGTAGCTTCACTTGCAACTCGTAAGCATCATCTCCTCGAAGAACATCACGCGTCCATGTCACTTCTGTCTTCATTGAGACCTGATCGTTGTGTAGACAAACAAAAAAAATAACATAAAACACTGATTCCGAACAAGTTCTGCACTTGATAAAGGAGGAGTAAAAGGAGACTGACCATTTCCAAAGCTCCTCTAATGACTCCACTTAAGATATTGCAGTAGTAAAGACCTTGGCAAGTATCCGGAAGCTCCACGAAATCAACTAGCGGGTTGTCCTCCAAGATTATACTGCAGCAAGTCCCATCTGCGTCCCAGCTTGTCACTGATGCAGTGACCCCTAAGAACATCTTGAAACCCACCTGTGTAATAAGGCAAAGCCTGTTACTGCTTCTCCATATTGTAAAAACCATAGCAGATATCTACTAGACACTAAACTTATGCTCTAGTTTTGATATGTAAGGTTTATCTATAGTGTCAAGTGGAATGAACATTCAAAATTGCAAAATCGTGATACTAAACAAGCAAGTCAATGGAAATGGCAAACCTTGGCAATCATTTCAGCAGTTTCCTTAAAGTCAACGCATCTGGAAACACCAGATTTGGCTAGAAACTCATCGATAAGTCGGATTCCAATGTTGTATCCCCTGCAGAATAAACAGAAAGCTAGTGATAAAGTTGTAAATCATAGAACACTCATCAGTATGAACTAGAAAGTCGAATGCTTTATTCGTCTCATCAAACGGCGTATAATTAGAAAGATATATTAACAAAGGAACTAGAGGACATAATGCAGCAAAACTTCAAACACAAGAATGAAAAATACAAACTTTCAAGGGACCAAAAAACCAAAATTAAAGCCAGTCTACAGAAAGTGTAGAAGAAGAATTACATTTGATCAAGCTGTTTGTTAACTTCCTCCACTTCTTCCAAGTCAGTAAGCAATTGACGCACAATTGCACCATACGTCAACGTGAACAACTCCGCATTCTACAAAATTATCAGATTCCAAGAGAGATCAAACAGTGTCTCCATAACAAAATCTAATCAAAGATTCGGAATTGGCTTCAATGTTTACTTCTCAAACCCTTAAAAATTACAAAAACACATCCAACAGCAATGAAGCATATACATAGAAAGAGGCTTATCCTAAAAAATCGATAAGCAAATCGGCAATGAAGCATATCAAATACCAAATTCTATAAAAGGAACAGAGGAAAAGGAGAAAACTTTGAAATCTAAACTTACCACACGATCAATGCTAGAGAAGATCGCATCACCGGATCGAGGACCAACCGGGGCCATCTCCAAATTTCCCGGAATAGATGACTATTTCCTACACATACAAAAACCGACAAAAAGAGCACTTCATCAGAACAGGACAAGGATTCTACTTGATCAAATCAGAGATAAGCTATAGAAATCAACTTAGTCATGAAAATAAAATAAAAAAGGAACCACAATGGTATTAAAGAAGACACATCTCTTAAAACTCATGTAGATCTACTAGCAGAAGATAAGTGGCTATAAAATGGAGTTACACTTGACTTTGTTCGATTGGAACAAACACCTCTAAATACCTTCCCAATCGATTCAATCACAATACACAATTGGTAAATTAAACCACAAAATCAAAATGGTCCCCAACAAGATTATCAATCACAAAAGAAAAACCCATTAAAGAATGGTCACTGCGTGATGCAGATCAATTAACGATCTAAAAAGCACGAAATAAGAAATGGGGTTAGAGAAAAATCCAATCTTACCAAATAAGAAGCAAAACCCAGAAGCAAAAGACAAGTTTTTGGCGATGGCAGAAGAAAGAGAGAGAGAGTATTGCTTGATCGCAAATTTCCTTTTCCATTAGAGAAGTTAGAACCTTTTGTGTTTATATTTGGGCCTAAGCCCATTGGGCCTTTTTCCATACTAAAAAGAAAGAGCCAAGCACACATTAGCATAACAGATTAATTATATGCTACGAAAGTTTCTAGTTTCGATTGATTATATAAAATGAACATTTCCATTAAAATCTTAAAAAGATACGTTAAATCTAGAGGAAAAGCTAGTAGTGTAAATGATATATTTATGTATCGTTAATACAAGTAAAAACATCCTACTTAACATGTTGTTCCGGTCTGTTCATATTGTGGCTAGGTTCAGCAACTCCACGAGCACTTCGGTTGCTCGATTTTTCTATTCTCCTTCCCTTCTTCGTCGTGGTTGGTCTTTTAGAGCTTCTTTTATATCTCGTTGTTGTTCTTCTGTGTGCGTTCGGTCTGATATTGATGTGGCTCGAGACTCGGTGGTGAAGATCTTTTCCTTTTCTAGAGAGCCAAATGTTGTTCAACCTTGGCAAACAACTGAGAAAGAATACTCAAGCTCTGGTATTCATTAACATCTTTCTCGTGTGATTTTTTTTTTTACTAGATTTGCAAAATTTCGAAAAACCGTATGGTATATCGTTTGGCTTAGTTTGGAATATCTATTATAGGATTTGTAATATCCGGAAGGAGGATTCTTACAAACTCTCATGTTGCGGGTGATCACCCATACGTGCAAGTGAGAAAGCATGGTTCATCCACTAAGTACAAAGCAGAAGTTAAAGCGCATGGATATGGATGTGACTTAGCTATTTTAAGCATTAATAGTGAAGAGTTTTGGGAGGATATGAATCCTTTGGAGCTCGGAGACATACCTTTTATTGGTGAAACTGTCTACGCTTTAGGTTATCCTCGTGGTACGTCTTGAACAATGCTTTAAATTTTCGTATTGAGAGAAAAATAAAGCTTTGATCATATGTGGTATTGAGAAAAGAATAACAATCATGCTTCACTTAAAAAATGACTAATTAGTTACGTTAATGCGCAAATGCAGGTGGTGATAGCATATCGGTCACAAAAGGTATTGTAACGAGAGTTGAACCTCAAACGTATTCTCACAGCTCCATTGGAATATTAACGATACAAACAGATGCGGCTATTAACGATGGAAATAATGGTGGTCCGGTGGTCATGGACAACAAAGTTGCTGGTGTGGTATATGAAAATCGTTCATCTTGTGACGAGTGAGTTAAAATTATATAAATCTTAAATATTTTTCTTGAGATTGCAAACAATTTAAGATTTAACTAACATCAGTTTTTTGTGGTTTTGTGTGCAGCTATATAATACCAACTCCAATAATTAAGCATTTTTTAACTGCTGTTGAAGAAACCGGTCAATACATTGGTTTATGTTCTCTGGATATATCATATCAATCTATGGAGAATGATTATATACGTAAACACTTCAAAATGAGTACTGAAATGACAGGAGTTCTTATAAACGAAATAAATCTGCTGTCAAGTGCTCAAGGAATTCTGAAAAAAGATGATGTCATTCTAGCAATTGATGGTGTTCCTATTGGAAATGATGAGACAAGTAATCTCCTACTTACACACTTCTATATTATACCACATTGATGAGTTCTCTCAATGTGTGTTAATTGGTGATATGTGAATTTATGTTTGTTGCATGCAGTTCCTTTTCGGAAAAAAGAAAGGATCAATTTCGAACATTTGGTTACTATAAAGAAATCAGGTGAAACAGTCTTACTTAAAGTCTTAAGAAAGGGAAAAGAACACGAGTTCAATATCATTGTAAGACATGTAAGTCATCTACTTTTGTACCGACATAGTTTTTTATCAGATAATTAAATACTGGCCCTGTAATTCTTGGCGTATAATCATTGGTTCACAGGATCAGCCGCTGGTTCCGGACCGACATCTTCCAAGTTATTACATACTTGCGGGTTTTGTCTTTGTGCCTCTCACTAAGCCATACATTAGTAAATCTTGTAAAATATGTGAATGTTCATCAAACAGAAAGGCCAAAAAGGCTGGTGAACAGATTGTTATAATTTCACAGGTTTGTGTTTTTCCATTACCCAATTCTTTTTCTTCTTAGTAAGTTCGGGTTTTGAGTTGTAATTGGAATATTGAGGTTTAACTTGAGCTAACATGATTCTCTTTGTATTCTATTTCTTTAGCCATTAAATTCTGCCAAGTGATTTGAGTTTTACAATATATGTAGATAGCAATGTAGTTATTTTGGCATCAAGAGTTTGATTTTTTATTTTGGTGTAGGTCTTATTGAATGACATAACCACAGGATATCGTGATTTCAAAGATTTGCAGGTAATTCATTTCTTGCTTATTCGCAAATGAAAGTAGTCTTGAAAAAAGGGAATTATATCTATATATATATATATATATAGTTTCACGTTCATCATGTATGTCTTGAGGACATAACTAATCTTACAGGTGAAGAATGTGAACGGAGTGGAAGTGTTGAATCTCAGACACCTAAGTGAGCTCATTGAGAAGTGTTGTGAAGAAGATTTGAGGTTGGATTTAGAAAACGGACGAGTTATTTCCTTGAACTATACATCTGCAAAAGAAGCTACTTCTTGGATCTTGGAACATCACGGAATACCATCGGCCATGTCCAAGGATCTTAAGATAGAATCCAGTCAATTAGGTTCCTCAGAAGCTGCTTTGACAACCCAATAATCACTCTTATATATCGCTAATGAGATCGAATTTTTCAGTTGTTTTTTTTTATACTTTTAACATTATATTAGCCAATTCAAATGAGTACATAGTTCAAACCTTTTGATGAATATACAGAATTAAACCCTAAACACTCTTTTACGCCTCTGTTACTTGTATCAGAAGCATCCATTTGCATTCTAGGGTATTGTCGTCTTTTGGTCAGTTACTAGTGACCAGTTTAACTGAACCAGTCAACTCTATATTGGGCCGAGTTTAACCTAATTAGCTTATTTTGACCCTAAAGGAAAAAAAAAAAAAGAAAATTAGTGAAAAGTTATGAGTGACCATCAAGTAAAGAAGACGACTCAAAACCCTATGACAAAATCACTCAAAATCGTAGCCGCTCGAGATGTCGTTATGGTCTGTTCGTATCGTGATCACCAGGTTCTGCAACTCCTCGAGCACTCAGGTTCCTCGATTCCTCTCTTCTCCTTTCCTTCTTCTTCGTTCCACTTCTGTCCGGAACAATTTACTGCCCCGTTTTCATGCTTCCATATCTCGTTGTTGTTCTTCTGTGTGCGTCGATTCGCGAAGAGAGTCAACGCACACAGAAAACTCTGCTATTGATTCGGCTCTTGACTCGGTGGTGAAGATCTTTTGCTTCTCTAGCGAGCCAGATGTTGCTGAACCTTGGAAGAATAGTTGGGTGGGGTTAGCCACGGGCTCTGGTATCCATAAACCATCTCTCTCTCTCTCTCAAACTCTCTTTTTTCTCTCGTGTGATTGGGACGTTTTGGTTGTGCCCTTTCGTATAGTTTGACTTATATATCTTAATGTGAAATTTACTTAGGATTCGCAATTTTCGGAAGGAGGATTCTTACAAATGCTCATGTTGTAGAAGATCACTCATACTTGCAAGTGAAAAAGCATGGTTCACCCACTAAGTACAGAGCAATAGTTGAAGCGGTTGGGGATGAATGTGACTTGGCCATCTTAGCTGTTGATAATGAAGAGTTTTGGGAGGATTTAAATCCTTTGGAGCTTGGAGACATACCCTCTATCGGCGAAACTATCTTCGCTTTAGGTTATCCTCGTGGTACGTCTTAAAAAAGTCCATTAAAATTTCGTATGACTAGATTTTAGAAGTTAGAACAAAGATTTGAATTATGTATAATATTGAGAAAAGAATTACAATCACGACTACCTATAGATTAGTGGGAACGGTTCCGGGGATGAAGGCTTTATATTAAACGATATTAAATGCTTTCTTAAGGTAACTTTTTCGAAATGTTTTATTGCTCTTCTTGAACATGGCAAAATCTGGTCATGGTAGATGATATACTCATAAAAAGACTAATGAGTTATATTAAGCGCTCAAATGCAGGTGGTGACACTATTTCTGTTACAAAAGGTATTACATCGAGAGTTGAACTTACTAATTACTGTCAGAGCTCCACCGAGCTATTGACAATACAAATAGATGCAACTGTTAAGCATGGAAATAGTGGTGGTCCGGTCATAATGGGAAATAAAGTTGTTGGTGTAGCATTCCAAGGTCTTCCAAGGTGTGAAAATATAGAGTGAGTTTGAAACTTTAAATCTTGGACAATCTTTTTCTAAGTAATTTCTAGATGAAATTGTGTCAATAAGCCCATATATTGCAAGCTTAAGTTTTTGCAAACAAAAGGTTTGACTAACATTATCTATTTGTTGTGGTTTTTTATGCAGGTACATAATCCCAACTCCAGTAATTAAGCATTTCTTAAGTGTTGTTGAAAAAAACGGTTACTACATTGGTTTCGATTTGCCGGATATATCGTGTCAAGCTATGGAGAATTCTCAAATACGTAAAAACTTTAAAATGAATCATGGAATGTCAGGAATTCTTATAAATGAAATAAATCTGGTGTCAGCTGCTCATAAAGTTCTGAAAAAAGACGATGTCATTCTTGCAATTGATGGCGTTCCTATTGGAAATGACGAGAAATGTTAGCTTTTTCTTTTCTTTTAAAGCTTGCGAAAATGTATATTTAGTTACATATTTTGTACTCAATTAGGTGAATCTTCTCCATGTGTTTTGATGAAGTGAATATATATTTTCTTCATGTGCAGTTGTATTTCGGGGAAAAGAACGGGTAAATTTCAATCATTTGGTTTCTATGAAGAAACCAGGTGAGACAGGTCTATTTAAGGTCTTAAGGGATGGAAGAGAACATGAGTTCAAAATCAGTTTAAACTCAGTAAGTCAGATACTTTACTAGTGACATATTTGCCATTACTTTTTGTGACTTTTTTTTTGCTATAAATAATTGAACTTATTGTCCCCTAGTTCTTGTTTAATTCGTTGCTTCACATTGGATTTGAATGGAGAATTTTCAAAAACAATACGCAGGTGCAACAACGGCTGGTTCCGGTGCGCAAATTTGATACAAATTGTTACGTATTTGCGGGTTTTATCTTTGTGCCTCTTTCTAAGCCAAACATTGAAAATTCTTCTGGCGCCATATGTGACTGTACATTAAAAAGGAGGCCCCAAAAACCTGTTCACGAGATTATCATAATTTCTCAGGTTTGTGCTTCTTTTTTACACAATCTGTTTTAAGCATAACGTAATGGAGATGAAGATATATAACTTGAGCTAACATGGTCAACAAGTGTCTTCTTAGTTATTCTAGTATCAAGTCAAGAGTTATAGAGTTTGATTTTTTTTTTGTTGGTGTAGGTGTTATGGGATGTCATCAACGTAGGATACTCTAGTTTCAAAAACTTACAGGTATAAGTCATTATTCCTTATTTTTAAAGGAAAAGTTGTCCCAAACACCATGAATTAGACTCACTTTGATTCTACAATATTGATCATGCCTATTTATGGTGTAAACAGGTGAAGAAAGTGAACGGAGAGGAAGTAGAGAGTATGAATCACCTACGTAGACTCATAAAAAAATGTCGCACCGAGGATTTGAGGTTGGACTTAGAAAAGGGAAAGGTTATAGTCTTGAACTATAAATCTGCAAGAAAAGAAACTTCGTTGATCTTGGAACGTCATAGAATACCATCGGCCATGTCTTAGAACTTTTAACAAAAACTTTTCATGAGTATGTCATATATATGTCCTAATTAACTAAGAAACTATTGAGAATTATGATATAAGCTTATACTTGGGACGCATTAGGATAAGATCATCAATGATTTATTTATCTTATCAATCTAGTAGTTGTGCGTTCACTTCCAAGAACAAGCTAATCCGGAATAAATTTTATGGAATAAGTTGGAAAACAGTACGTTTTCCAAACTTAAATTGAAAAACTAGTACAGAGACTATTCAATATTGAGATATTACTCGGGTCCACTAGTTTGTGAGATACAAAAACTTACTAATAGAAAAAAAGTGGGGTGAGAGAGAGAAACATGGGGTTTGTTGTTAGTGGGCCACGTTTTTTTTCCTTTTATATTACACATTCTCTCAAAGTTTAATAATTAAAATGTTCTCTAGTAAAATTTTATTTTTCTAAAATTGATCATATAAATAAAAATCTATGTTTTTTTCTCTTTCATTTGATATGCATTTTGTTTAATGATTTTTAAATTTTATATTACAGAGCACTGTACAAATAATATCTATACAGTTATAAACCACTGTACAGATATAGACCACTGTACAGATATAGACTACTGTACAGAATGATGCATCTGTTAAACGAAATCATAATTTACTGTTAAACAAACAAATATCCTTCTGTACAAATGCACCATTCGGTACAGTGGTCTATATCTGTACAGTAGTCTATATCTGTACAGCGGTCGATATAGACCACTGTACAGATATAGACCACTGTACAGAATGATGCATCTGTTAAATGAAATCATAATTTACTGTTAAACGAACAAATATCTGTACAGTGGTCTATATCTGTACAGTAGTGTATATCTGTACAGTAGTCTATATCTGTACAGCGGTCTATATCTTGTACAGTGCCCTATAATATAAATTTTAAAAATCCTTAAACAAAATGCATATCAAATGATAGAGAAAAAAACATAGATTTTTATTTATATGATCAATTTTAGAAAACTAAATTTATTAAAGAGCATTTTAATTAATAAACTTTGAGGGAATATTTAATAAAAAAAGAAAAAAAAACTGGCCCACTAAAGTCCCCACACGTCTCTCTCTCTCACACACCCAACAAAAGCTGTCTATTTTACTAATTCTAAATAGTAACCGTACTACTTTCCCAATTAAGTTTCAGAAACGTATTACTTTCCCAACAAACCCAAATTTTATTTACTTTGTAGACCAGAAAGAACTTCAAATGAAAAAAAAAAAAAAACTTCAAATGAAAATGAACCAAGAAAAAAAAAACGAAATTGTCATATTATAAATTACAAAAACTCCAAAACAAAAACAAAAAACAAAGAAAAAAATAAGAGCATGCATGGTGTTGCAGATGCGGAGACTCGTCTCCATCATTCACTTGACACATGCACACATTACTGAACTTTCGAACACCTAATCCAAACAAAACTCCATGCGTGTTATGTTCCAAGTGCTCACACACAACCTCATGCTTATTACACGTGAATGCCATGCAAAAGTCCTCTCCTCCATAAATAAACCCATTCCCATTTTCACTTCACTTCATCCGTCACTCACCAAATACCTCAAATCCTTAAACAAAATCAAACCATGGCTAAGCTTATTCTCGTTTTCGCAACTCTTGCTCTCTTCATCCTCCTAGCCAACGCATCCATCTACCGCGCAGTGGTGGAGTTCGATGAAGAAGACGACGTTAGCAACCCACAACAAGATAAGTGCCAGAGGGAGTTTATGCAGCATCAGCAACTAAGAGGTTGCAAGCAATGGATCCGCAAGCGAGCTCAACAAGGAAGAATCGGATACGAAGCTGATGACTTTGAGCTCACTCTTGATGTTGATTTTGAGGACGATGAGAACCCAACACCTCAACAACATCAACCAGCTCTTAGAATGTGTTGCAATGAGTTAAGACAAGTGGACAAGATGTGTGTGTGTCCTACACTGAAAAAGGCTGCTCAACAAGTTAGATTCCAGGGAATGCATGGACAACAACAGATGAAACATGTGTTTCAGACTGCTCAGAACTTGCCTAAGATTTGCAAAATCCCTGCAGTTGAATCCTGCCAGTTCAAGGCATCTCCTTACTAAGATCATGAAGAGGACCAGACTATAAAAACGCACACGTACACACATGGTGATTTTGTTAATGATAATAAAAAAAGTCTCACTCTTGTGGCGTGTTCGTGTTTGTATCGTAGATATATGTTTGTACTGTGTGAGTTAAGAGTCTTAGTGGCAATATTACACCTTGTAGTGTAATGTAACTTGCCCTACCCCCTTAAATAAAAGAGTGTTCTTGGGTACTCAAAATCTTTAACACCACACTCTCTAAGTCTCATGTTTGTGTTTTAAGAAATTATTGAGAATTGTGATATAAGCTTATATATGTATACTTGGGATGTACCTGCAGTAGAGGATTAGGATAAGATCCACATGACTTCTATATGGATTGAAACCTTGACATGGTTCTTTTCTATAAATAGATTTGGTGTTTGAAAGGTTTAAAAGAAAAGACACACTCAGACTCAATTCGAGGCTATGCTATTCTATATTTTGGAGTGCCCTCAATAGAGAAATTTTACTAAAGAATGGGGAACCAGCCAAATTGACAACTTGGAATTCGTGGTCATCACAAATTACGACGTGGTTAGGCCACAGGCCAGCACAAGAACTAGCAGGTTCATAAGAAGGTTCAGATTCTGAGAGGGAAATGCAGCGATCTCTCCAATGTCTCGAGTGTAAACAACGTTTCCTTTTTCGTCGAGCTTGAACACCACCATTAATTACAGCTATTGTTTTCATTTTCTCTAAACCCGTTAATGATCTTTCCAGTGGTCTTCTTGTACCACTTAACCAAGAAAATTTCGTAGGTGTGGATAGTGAAGCAGAGACATGATGAATGTTCTTAAGGGAAAAGCAAAAAAGAAAAACCTAATTGAAGAAATGGTGATGTTTTACATCTTCTCCTACACTAAAACAGAGGAAGTAACTTGCTCGCCAAGTTTTCATTTTAGTTATGGTCAGACTAATTATGGTCAAACCCTCCTTCAATTAGCCGGGAACAAAGAGGAAGAAAGCTAGCTACTTCGTGAGCCTATATACCCACAAAAACTCCTCGTATATTGTCATCGGTTCAGTTTTTGAGCTTGTGACCGGTTCAAGTAAACCGAGTCGAACCAAAGTATTTTATTTAACCAATAAACTAATTAAAAAGAACAGTAGAAAAATTAAACTAATGAAAGTCCTCATCTAAGACTAGCGCACGTCACGGAAAAAAAAAAAGATAAGACTAGCGCACGTCGTACTAATTTCGGTAGATTTGATTGGTTTAGAGTTATTAATGTTATTATAAGCAAAATTCGGTTCGTTTTTTTGGGTCAAACACACGGTTTGTTATAAAACTTATAATCAATTGTAAACTATAGACCTTTTTTTTTCTGGTCAATTCGTCGTAAAATTAACTCATTAATGAGTGCAATCGAGAATTAAAACGTATTAAATTTCAAATAATATTTAGGTTGGTTTGGTTTAATTATTGGTATAACCAAAAAAAACCAGACATTCTCAATGATTTATTTTAATTTAAATAGGGAAAGAGACGTGGAAGGTGAGTCTCTCTTTCTCTCTGTAGTAAATACAAAGACGATACGTAAAAGAGAACTTAATCCAAAATTTGTTTTTGAGAACTTAATCCGAAATTTGTTTTTCAATATATAAATACGAAAGCATAAACAAATCATTTATCAAGTTTTTGAAACAACAACAGATTTCTAAAACAACTCTTAATCAGGTCTTCTTCTTCGCTCTCTCTTCTTCTTATCCTCAAAAAATCTTTCCCCTTTTCTTGCTCCTTAACGTTTCCAAAGTCTTTATCAGATTACTGCTTCGAGACTCTTAATTCTTTTTTCTGGGTTTTTAATATCTTCTAATTCTTTTCAATTTCAACACAAATTTGTTGCTTTTAGGTATATACAATCATCTTCATTTAGCGATTCAAGCTTAAGTATCTTTTTGTTAGTTTGATCGTTGATTCTATCTTCTGGGTTTTTGTAAAAGTTCGATCTTTTTGTTTCTTTCTTGTTGATTTGTGTGTTTCTTGCTTCGTGACGACTTGAAGAAGAAGCAAATTTTCGAGTTTGCGTGTATTTTGTTTCTATTTTTAAAGATTCTAATCAAATTTCTTCAATTTCGGTTTTAAAATTGCAATTTTTATCTCTGCCCCGTCTTTCTCGGCGATTCATTTTTCTTGGAAATATCTCAGGCGTCGATATAGAGAATAAAAATCGAAACTTTGTTTCATTTGGAGGTTAAAGATCAAAGCTTTTTGGTAGTGAAGAGTCTCCACCATTATGAGGAAAAACGGTGACGGTTCTTCTCCGAAGTCGCCGGACGGAGTTATGTCACGATCAGCTCGGAGTTCGTTTCGTGCTTTGTCTAATTGCCTTAAGGTGATTTCATCTGGTGCTTCTACTGTTGCTCGCTCCGCCGTATCAGCTGCTTCTTCCGCCGTTAGGGACGTTGATTCTCATCACGATCAGGTATTGTATTTGCTTCAATTTTTGGAAACTTTTGGGATTGTTTTACTTCATTTGGATGATTTTGATATCTTAAAAGAGCGGTCTTTATGTTTGTTGGAGTGTTTGATGAGTCTTGGTTGATGAATTTTGAATCTTTAGGTACTATGGGCGGGGTTTGATAATCTACAGAAAGAAGATGGAGATACTCGAAGAGTTCTTCTACTAGCATTTAAGTCTGGATTTCAAGTTTGGGATGTTGAAGATACAGAGAATGTTCACGTTATAGTTTCTACACATGATGGACAAGCATTCTTTATGCAAATGCTACTGAATCCAATAAAGTCTGGAGCTTTAGATGATAGGTTTTATAAGAGCCGTCCTCTTTTGGCTGTGTGTGGTGATTCTTGGGAAGAACATTCAAGTAAAAAGATCAGTTCTGATAACTCCGGAAGTGAAACCGTGGCTACTCCTACTAATGTCTATGTCTACTCGTTAAAGTCTCAGTCTTATGTGCATACGCTGAAATTCCGGGCTACCATTTATTCGGTTAGGTGCTGTTCTCGGATTGTTGCTGTACAACAAGCAGCTCAGGTTCAAATGTCATATTGTGTCACTTTTGTTTTTGTGATTTTTCTGTTCTGAAACTAACAACGTGTAACTTAAAAACATGTATTTGCAGATAGATTGCTTTGATGCTGCAACACTGGAAATGGATTACACGATTGTCACTAACTCCATTGTGTGTGGCTCCTCGGGTGTTGGATATGGCCCTCTTGCAGTTGGTCCACGATGGATTGCATATAGCGGAAGTCGTATTGCTACCTCAAGTTCTGCAATTTTCACTTCAGAACTTCTCTCACTGTCATCATCACCCAGTGTTGCACAATTTGCAAGAGACTCGAGCAAGCAGCTCGCTTCTGGGATAGTAAATCTTGGAGACAAAGGGTACAAGTCATTGACTCGATACTGCGCAGAGGTTCTTCCCAATCCGTATATTCCTGGTTTAAAAAGCATTGGAGTTGGTAATGAGAATGTGCCAGATGCAGAGAGCATAGGAATGGTATACACAAAATCCTCCTCAATTTTTTGCTCTCAAGTTGATTTTCCATTGGTATGTGCCTTAAACATATCCATGGTATGTGCAGGTTATTGTCAAAGATATCACAAACAAAAGCGTCATAACGCAGTTTAAGGCACACAAGAGTCCGATTTCAGCTTTGTGCTTTGACCCAAGTGGCCTGCTTTTGGTGACTGCTTCGATTCAGGGGCACAATATTAACGTCTTTAGAATAATGCCAACAATCTCTACAAGCAGAGCGGTGAAGAAAACGACTTTTGCCCATCTGTTCAGGCTTCAACGCGGTTTTACTAATGCGGTAAGCAGAGCCCTTCACCTACACATGTTGAAAATGTGATGCTTTTGATTTATCTTAATGTGAATTTTCAGGTGATACAAGACATCTGTTTCAGCAGTGATAGCAATCTAATTGTGGTTAGCTCTTCAAGAGGGACAAGTCATCTGTTTGAGATAAATCCTGAGAAAGAGGGGGATTCTCCGGTTCCTATGTCTGCAATCAGTAGGATAAGAAGCGGAAACAGCAGCGGATGGATTGGGACTGTGAGCGATGCAGCTTCTGCAGCAGCTGGAATGGTTGGAGGCTCTGTTCCGGGTACAATCACATCCACTTTCTGTTACTGCGATGAAAAGAGTAACAATAACTACTATGGTTCTGTTGCTGATATGTGCTCCAAGACGAATCTTCTGGTGTTTGCTCCTTCTGGATGTATGACACAGTATGCCTTACGGGAAAATGCGGCTGGTGCTGGTCATGAGACTGCTGCGATGATGGGGTTTGACTTTGAGTCAGGTCTAGAGACTGAAGGAAAGTTAGCGGTAGATCCAATAAGAAGGTGGTCCATAATCCAAAACCGATCTAGAAGAGAGACGCAGGATCACCACAGTGACATATATGGAGGTGGAACATCAGTGGATTCTAAAAGCAAAGTGTTTCCGGAGGTTGTTAGAAAACAGAGTGTTGAGGAAGCTTGGAAAGTAACTAAGAAAGGAAAGACCCATGTGGATGATAATCGTCATTTGTACATATTTGAAGCAGAACAGCAAACGCATCTGCCGACTCAGCTACCGTTATGGGAAAGGCGAAAGGTAAAATTTCCATCTGTTGAGAGAATGATCTGGACAAATGGTAATGTGTTGTTGGAGAATGGTAATGTGTTTTGCACAAAACAGTTTAGGTTTCAAAAATTGGCATTGAATCGGGGTGAAGATATTAGTGGTGGAGGAGGGGAGATGGAGATTGAAGGAATCCAAACTCGAACTATTGAAGCAAGAACAAGAGATCTGGTTCCAGTCTGGGGTTATCTCCATTCTCCAAGATCCCAACAAGTGACAAACGAGTGAGTTTTCTGATACTGATTATGCTCAACACTTAAAGTTTTTGTCTTTGTCTCTGTCACAGTTTCTTGACACTAATACACTATGACACAGATCAATGCAGAGTCCAAGTACCACTACAGAAGATGACAAAGTGGCTCCTCTGGAGGGTCATGGAACAGAGACTGATCTCGGGGCTGTACATAGTGAAGAAGAGACACAAAGCGAGTCTGTAGATAAAGAAGGTATTGCAGAGGAGAAGAATCACAGTGAAGATGAGGATGAAGAGCAAGTGGATTAGAAGAAGGTGATCGTGTTATTGGTTTATTTTTTTCACACAAACTCGGCTTCAACAACAGAATAACAAAAAAATAACTCTGGAAAATTGTATAGAAAAGAAAAAGGAAAATTGACATATCTTTTAGATGTAAATAGCTTTAGTACTTTTTCTTCTTTTTTTACAAAATATTATTAGCCCATTGATTCATGAACCATCTTATGATGTAAACAAAATATAAAAAAGTACTTTTTTTTACTACCACCTTTGTATTCAAAGAAAAAGAGTTTGCCACATAAAAATTTGTTTGTTTTTTGTCTTTCTAAAATTGTGATGTTTAAGTAAAACAGACGAACGACTTTTAATGAGCAGAAAATAGAAACAAGCAAGAGAAAAGAGGAACCAATTGTCCTAATACACCACAAATATTAAATGAAAATGCAGACATCTTACCACACCACAAATATTAATAGGATAGAGTTTCTCTGATGAGATTGAATCGGTTAACAGGAAATCATGGAACAGAGCAAATTCTTTCAATTGTTTTAGCTGTTATTAGTGGAAGAATGAGTCTTCCAAAGGTATAGAGACTTATTATCTTCACACTTTCTTAATTCCGTTATAGGCTTGTAGCTAGGGCCTAGGAATGGTTGATTCATCTCCTTTTTGTATTGTGCCATTTGCTAGGAACTTATATAAGTTTAAACTTGAGAGTGTTTGATATAACAACAACAAGTTGGTTTTAAGTTTTTTGAACTAGTTGACCAACAAAAAAAATTACCCTAGTGGACAATGAAGAGATTGTTAACAGAAATTACAACCTCTATACATCCAATAAAATTGTAACGATTACTTTATGCAACTGTAAAGTGGGCCAAATTTTCATTTTATAAACGAAAAATAAAATGAAATTTAATGAAGAGAGCATCGTTGACTTTAGATAGATTCAATGGCGGACGCACGTCAAGGGAAATTAAAGGAGTCGCATATACTAGCAGTGTATATCATGTATGGTAATATATGAGATATCACATAACTAGACTCCAAAACACATTAATAAAAAAAAGGATTACAATTTTTACTAAAGTTTTGTTCTTAAAAAAGTATTACCTTCTAATGTATGGTAGATTTTAATGATATTAGTGTAGATAAACTTTGCTATATATTGATAATAAGATTATGTATTGTACCCAGTAAAAAATAAAAAAATTGGTCTGCCACTGACTAGTAATTAAAATAACCCTTAAGAGAATGAATATAACAATTCTAAAACAACAAATTCAAATTTATATCTCAAATGGATCAAAGTTTCCTCAAGCCACTTGAAACTAAAATAAGTTTTTGACTTTTTACGAGAGGAGAGTAGTGTTTAAAGAGAATGAAAATCTCAAATAGATCAAAGCTCCAACAAGCCACTTGAAACTATATAGATATAAAATAAATATATATTTTGACGAAGAGAGCGTGGTTGACTTTAGAGAGTAGTATTTAAAGGAACCCTTAAGAGAATGAATATAACAAACTTAAACAGCAAATACAAATTTATTTCTAAACTCTAAAGTAGATCAAAGTTTTCTCAAGCCACTTGAAACTAAAGATGACTGCACAAAATTTCGGCAGAAACGACAAGGCCACTTTTTCTCGGTACGTGGAAGAGAATTCGTTTAGGCTGACGGAAACAAACGAAGGAAAAGTTTTGCAGCTCTGCCCTTCCCTAGTCACTTCCACCAACTCCAAAGGTGACACTCCTCTTCATTTCGCTGCTAGCTTGGGACACACGAGCACCTTGATTCAGATGTCCACGAAATACGAGGGAGAAACCCTAGATGATCCAAAACTTGAAGAAATGATGAATAACGATGGCTTGACACCTTTACATTGTGCGGCAATGAAGGGTTCTATTGAAATCCTTAGGGAATATCTCGATATGTCGCCCTCGTCTTTCGACTCAGTCACAGGAGGAAAGAAAGAAACTGTCTTTCATATAGCTGCGAAACACAAGAATAACGAAGCTTTCATCTTCATGGCTAAGAGTGCCAAGTTAGGCAAACTTCTCTACCAGCTCGATGCAGAGGGCAATAATGTGCTTCACGTTGCTGCCTCCGTAGGCTCTATTGCCGTAAGTTTTCTCTTTCTCTTTATTTTTTGTTTTGTTTTGTTTTCATGAGATGTTTTGCTTCTATCTATGAGACTATATATAGATGCATTAAACAATATTTTCATGAGAAGATATATGATCCGAAAACTTAAAAATATGCGGTTTTGTTGTTTATCTCCTAATTTAATTAATTAATATATTCAATTTGGACATATCACAGCTGGTAAATTACATAATCGACGAAACAAATATAGAAGTAACCACCAGAAACAAAAAGGGTTTTGCTGCGATTGACCTCCTCAACGAAGACGATGAAGGTTTCCATCAGCTATCTACCGCTCTGATGTGTGGTCTGGAAATAGTAATCGAACACCCTTCAAGTCCTAGAGAAATGGGAAATCTTGAGATCCAAGTATTAGATGTATTGAAGAAGCTGCAGACGCAGATGCTAAGAGTTCATAGTAGATTGAGTCCTAACAAAGAAATGGAGATACTAATGGAGGGACCGAGTCCTAACAAACAAATGGAGATACAATTGGAGGCTTTGCAAAACGCTAGGAATACAATCATAATTGTCGCTGTCTTGATTGCATCGGTTACTTTCACATGCGGTCTAAACCCGCCTGGTGGGGTCCATCAAGAGGGACCCTACATAGGGAAATCAACCGTAGGAAGAACCCTAGCTTTCATGATCTTCTCGATAAGCAATACCATCGCATTGTTTACATCAGTTAGTATGGTCATTCTTCTCCTCAGCATTATACCTTATAGGGAGGATTCACTAAAGAAGTTCTTGGTTATCGCACATTGGATGATGTGGGTGGCTGTTGCAGCTATGGCAAGTGCTTATGTGGCTGCGGCATCGGTCCTTTTACCATATTTTGAAGAAACAAAATGGTTGCTCTATGCCACTCTTGCTATCGCTGGCTTGACGCTAGGGGGTATGTTTGTTTATCTACGGTTTAAGCTGACTAAATGCATCTTAAGGAAGATGGATTATCTTAAATGGATGTCGTCCTCGCTAGTACCCAAGCATGGGTCCCTAGACATGGCAGCCAATTCGGTTAAAGGCTATTATAGCTATTGAAATCATAATTAAGAGGTATCCAAGTTATACAGGGCATATCATTAAGTAATATATATTTGACGTCTTTCATGTTATTTGTATTAGTGTACGTATATTTGTATGTATGCAATATAAATTTTAAAAATTCTCTTCAAATTTCATGTTTTTTATTTTTTATTTATTTTAAAAGTACCTTGTATTCATCTCTTTGTCCCTTTTACATCGATACCATTTTATGCTCTCCTTTTCATTCCCATTATAAATTTCATGTTTTATGTGTTAGAAAATTAACATTGTGTCCATTGCAAATTTCAACGACGAACATTTCAAATCGAAAAATTACCAATTTGGCTACTTAACAAATATTAACTAAAAAACTAATCTTGATGATTATTTTACATGTAACATAACATGATCACCATTCAACCTATTTTTCGTTCGCTTAGTACTGCTTGAGCTTTCCGTTAAGATTTTAGATAAAAGTCGTGTTGAGTGTTCAAACAGTGAATCAACCAATTCCAAGGACAAGGAGAAGAAGAAAAACTAATCATATCGTTCAAGTATTTGGAAAACCAAAAGGGAAATGTACTATTATTTTTCAGCTTCCAAATTCCAACCATGTCACCACAAGGTCCAGAACGAGATAAGCATAGAGTTTTGAAGTTTCGTGAAATCTCATGAATTCGAAGCATCATGAAACCAAAAATATTTTTGTTGTATTTATCATGAATCTTGATGCTTTTATGTTTTTTTTGTTTTATCTGTTTTGCTTCAACCACTTTTTCATAAATATTATTTTTGGTGAAGACATACTCCAAATTTTACAACTATTTCGGAAAAAAAAAACACAACTACAAAATCCTAGGGCATTAAACAAGCTCCATCATTTATCAATGATTAGTCTCTAGTTGTCACGTAACTTTTGTCGTTTTCTTGATAACTCGACCGCATGATTCTTTATTTTATGGTCCGAGTGGTAACCGAATGGTAACAGCGTATTTGATTGTGCGGAAAAAGCGATTTTATAGTGCGGTACGGTTCAACTGTTGTATTTGCGGGACAAGTGCGGTTTTTATAAAATAAGCGGTACAAAATAATGTTTGACTGGTGAAAAAACTATTTGCGGTACACAACTAAATGTGTGATTGGCAAAACAAAAAAAAGCGGTGCGATTATATATTATCATAAATATATTACAATATTATTATATTAATAATTAGTATAATTGTATATTATTGTTTGTTTGATGTTAATTAAAAAATATTTTCATACATTTATAATTTTAAATATCCAAATTGTTGAACGTAAAATTTTAATTTTTGACATACATAATGTTCTATCAATTAAAGAGTTAATCATTAAAAAATACAACACTTTAAAAAATCTACTTGTAGTATACAATAAAATGTTATAATTGAACATTCATAAATCAAATTAAATAAGAAAGATATATATTCATTTAAATTTTGATATATTAGTAAACTAATTTTAGTTAGCTTTGAACTAATTAAGCTTTTAAAAAAAATGAACTAAACACAAAATTTTATGAAACTTAATTTGACTATTTTGTTCTATGTATTTACCATAAAAAGAGAGGGAAAAAATTATTTATTCTTCTTCCTTTGCATATGTGATTTTTGGTGAGTACAGAAAATATTAATGATTTTTCAATGGATATGCGTTTTTGTTTGTACCGCTGGATTTTACATGGAGTGTTAACTGAAGTGCGTTATTCTATATGTTAAGTAATAGAGTTGTCTCGAAAAATGTGAGCGGATTTACTTTTTCTTTTTTGTAAAAAACGCAAATTAGTGTAATAAATTGTGATTGGTAGTAGTAAAGCGTATTTGAAAGAAATCTTAAAACAGTTGTGTTCCCATTCAAGACCTATAAGTAGCATTTATTATTTTTTTTAACCAAAAAAATGATTCTTTTTTAATTAATATTCAAGCATATAAACATGATAGAAAAAAAAAATTCTGAAAATGGATACATTTTCGAGTGTTTTAGCAAGATATTAGATTGGTAACGATATTTCATAGAGGCCGTAGCCGTAGACATATATAGGCCCAAAAACATTCCATAACTAGCAGAAATTAAAACATGCAAATATTATTACACTGGAAAGGCAAAAAGTCTTGAAGTACAAACTACAAAGACTTCTTGTTTGGGTGTGGACGAGACTGAATAGCTTAAGAGAAAAAGGTCGCAATCGAAATTAGAGAAGAAATTAGTCCTCAAAAAGTAAATTCTGAAGTTGAAGCTCCAATGTCTTTGTTCAAAGACTTTATTTAGATGTAAAGTTATGTCTTGTAACCACCAAACAGCTCCTTTTCATCTACACTCTCAAGTTTTAAAACATTTGTGTGTTGCATTGCCTTTTGACTTGTCTTTCTCTCTCCAACCATCCTCCTTCAACATAAAGCCAAATCCAAATCCCCTAACCGAACCGAATTATACCGAAGATGTTGAGCTACCACAAAATTTCACGGTTTAGTGATCATAAAAATTAAAAAAGTGTGACAAGAGTTTCATAATTCGAACGGAGTGGTATTCCGAGTCCACCGTAAAAACTAAGGTTCTCATATAAATGTACAAAAGAAAACCATATAAATCCAAATAACCTAACCGATCAAACCTATAACAATAATACTAACAAGAATCAGATTACATAAACAGCAATATTAGTGACTCGGTTTAGTAATCAAAGTAACAATATATATATTGATTCCACCGGCTTCGAGATTTGAACCGAGAAAACCGAATAGCGCATAACCGAGAAAAAACCGAAACTTCCTAACAAATTCAGAAAACCGGTAACATAAAACAGTGGTGTTTCTAATTCTAACCAGCACACGTTTCCTTTTTATTTACAAGAAACATCAGAGTTATGATCTGCCATTAATAACCTAAACACAAAGCAAGGTTAGGTAAATGATATGGACCCGTTATATGAATAATCATACAATACATAACAACGTAAGATCCAGTTTCCCTCTTCGAACATCCATCTCCTTTCAGACAAAAAAAAAAACACATAATCAGAAAACAAAGACATAATAAATAAAGAAACAGAGGAGAAACAGAGAGATCATGCAGTTGCATATATCTCCGAGCTTGAGACATGTGACTGTGGTCACAGGGAAAGGATTGAGAGAGTTCATAAAAGTGAAAGTTGGTTCTAGAAGATTTTCTTATCAAATGATGTTTTATTCTCTACTCTTCTTCACTTTTCTTCTCCGATTCGTCTTTGTTCTCTCCACCGTTGATACTATCGACGGCGATCCCTCTCCTTGCTCCTCTCTTGGTACGTTTCTTCTTTATTTCCTAATTTTCTAAAGTTTTTTCTAAATCCGGAATTTATGTAAGATAATGTTTATGTAAACTCTTGATTTCGTTTTTTCAAAAAACACATTAGATATTTTCTTACATGTTGAAAAAAATAGCAGTATAATTTTACTAAATACACATTTTACTTTCTATGTGTACATGCACAATTACGTCGAGCTGAGAAATAAATTTTATATTATGCTCTAGTTCATGTAAAACAATAATCTAAACGAAGAAGTGGAATATAATTACTAGAGATTTATTCTTAAGAGTGAATCCAAGAGCTGGTCGGTTTGTTTCAGGTTGATTTTGTATTAATTATGGTCAAGATTAATTAAATATTTAAAGACATTTCAAGTGACCTAAAGAGATTAATTTACTTAATCTCATAATTACACATCATTTTAACATCAGACCAAAAAATTACCTTTTAAATTAACAGCTTGCTTGGGGAAGAGACTAAAGCCACAACTTTTAGGAAGAAGGGTTGATTCTGGTGTAAGTCCTCTAACTTCAGTTTCATACTCTTGAGCACATTTACATTTACTGAGATTAAAAAGTTAATTTTCTTTGGTTATTTATCTAGAATGTTCCTGAAGCTATGTATCAAGTTTTAGAACAGCCTTTAAGCGAACAAGAACTCAAAGGAAGATCAGATATACCTCAAACACTTCAAGATTTCATGTCTGAAGTCAAAAGAAGTAAATCAGACGCAAGAGAATTTGCTCAAAAGCTAAAAGAAATGGTGACATTGATGGAACAGAGAACAAGAACGGCTAAGATACAAGAGTATTTATATCGACACGTCGCATCAAGCAGCATACCGAAACAACTTCACTGTTTAGCTCTTAAACTAGCCAACGAACATTCGATAAACGCAGCTGCGCGTCTCCAGCTTCCAGAAGCTGAACTAGTCCCAATGTTAGTAGACAACAACTACTATCACTTTGTATTGGCATCAGACAATATTCTTGCAGCTTCGGTCGTGGCTAAGTCATTGGTTCAAAACGCTTTAAGACCTCATAAGATCGTTCTTCACATCATAACGGATAGGAAAACTTATTTCCCAATGCAAGCTTGGTTCTCATTGCATCCTCTGTCTCCAGCAATAATTGAGGTCAAGGCTTTGCATCATTTCGATTGGTTATCGAAAGGGAAAGTTCCCGTTTTGGAAGCTATGGAGAAAGATCAGAGAGTGAGGTCTCAATTCAGAGGCGGATCATCGGTTATTGTGGCTAATAACAAAGAGAATCCAGTTGTTGTTGCTGCTAAGTTACAAGCTCTTAGCCCTAAATACAACTCCTTGATGAATCACATCCGTATTCATCTACCAGAGGTAAGTTTGCTCTGTGACTGGTGAAGATTACTCAATACTCAACACATTTAGACCCGCAAACCTAAAACCGTGTTTGCTTTCTTTCTTTTTGCAGTTGTTCCCGAGCCTAAACAAGGTTGTGTTTCTAGACGATGACATTGTGATCCAAACTGATCTTACACCTCTTTGGGACATTGACATGAATGGGAAAGTAAATGGTGCAGTAGAGACATGTCGAGGAGAAGACAAGTTTGTGATGTCAAAGAAGTTCAAGAGTTACCTCAACTTCTCAAACCCAACAATTGCCAGAAACTTCGATCCAGAGGAATGTGCTTGGGCTTATGGAATGAATGTTTTCGACCTAGCGGCTTGGAGGAGGACTAACATAAGCTCCACTTACTATCATTGGCTTGACGAGGTAAATGGAAACCACTAACTACCCAACAATCAGTATCAAGCAGTAATCATCTTAACTCAAAACAATTTTCATGCATGTGTTGCAGAACTTAAAATCAGACCTGAGTTTGTGGCAACTGGGAACTTTGCCTCCTGGGTTGATAGCTTTCCACGGCCATGTCCAAACCATAGATCCGTTCTGGCATATGCTTGGTCTCGGATACCAAGAGACCACGAGCTATGCTGATGCTGAAAGCGCCGCCGTTGTTCATTTCAATGGAAGAGCTAAGCCGTGGCTGGATATAGCATTTCCTCATCTACGTCCTCTTTGGGCCAAGTATCTTGATTCCTCTGACAGGTTCATCAAGAGCTGTCACATTAGAGCATCATGATAATCACAAACCAAAACCCAATTTCTACATTGGCACCCAGAGAGGAGATTCACAGATCAAAATATAGGATCAAACTTTTCTGCAATGGAGTTTCACTTCTCTACCGGATCATGTTTTGCGGTTTCTTCAGTCTCTCATGTTTCTAATTTTTTTGTACTTTCAAACTCTTATGGCGAGAAAGTAACCCCATTCTATGTATTAATGTACGAACACATAAAGTGAGAGACGATCTGCCAAACTCTACTTAAATTTACATGTGAATAGATAACATTGCGCGAAGCAATTGGAGTTTACAATGTCATATCATTGTTCAACAGATAACAGTTACGATGATAACACGACAAAGCAAAAGCAACGATAAGACTAAGAAAGCCGAGAAGAGGAGAGCAAAACAAATGGAGACTTTTCTTTTAAGCGGAAGCAAGATGCAAACCGGTTGATGAGTTTTCTTGACTAAGCAACAGGAGGGCGAAGGACATGATCCTGAGAAGTATCGACTGAAGCAGGAGGCATGAACTGCCACATGGCAACTCCTGGGTAACTGATGATTGGCACCATCTTGTTTCCGGGAGCTTGGCCTTGCGCGGAAGCAAAAGCAGTAGGCATCATAGGTGGGGCTGGGAAAAAACTTGGTTGAGGAGCATTCATGGCTTTCAGCTGCTGCTCCAGCTTTTCTTTCTCTGTCTTCAGCCTCTGTTTCTCATCTCGCAGCTCGTTTTTCTCAGTCTGATTTACATAAACCGGAAACTAGTAAGCATTCGATGATTTTATGGGGAAAAAGGAGGATTACAAATTTCACCTTTAACTCTTTGATTTTGTCCTGAAGACTTGAATTGGAGTCCTTCAGTTTCTGGGCCTCGCCCCGTAGCTGTGTCACCATGCGGACAGCATCAACCAAGATAGCAGCCTTGTCTGTTTTGGGAGGATTTCCAGGCTCCAAAATAGCACCCAATTCCATAAACCTGTTGTTCATTTGAAAGGCGACAATTTTAGTTCCTACTACAGAGGAAAAGGAAGGATATACAAAAATGAAAAAACTTACTTGTCATTCAACCTGTCCCGTCGCTGCTTCTCTCTGCATGCTTTCGAGCTAGTGGCAGAGGATGATTCACATCTCCCCCTGAGACAAAAAAAATGACCAAAATTACTCTTTCTGATACTAGTCAAGAGAGCCAATACAGATCCCCGCAACAAGAGAACCATAAACAAGTCCATAGCGATTTCTCAAAGTTAGAAATTCTGGAAGTTGCTATAGTTTCCTGATTCAGTCGGTCTTTTTATTTAAAGGTGTGTCACATAGAGTTTACCATAAGAAGCTTACCTCTTTTTGGATCCAGGTTCCTTGCTAGCTTCTGAATTTCCAGCTGAGCCATCAACTCCAGCACTGAACCAACAAGAAACACATCGAACCAACTAAGTATTACATCTATGTTCAATCATGCAGCAACTTACAACTACTCACTTCTAAGGAAGAAGATTATATTACTTAACATTGACATCGTAAGGTCAAACCATCCACTCATATTAGAAGTCCCTATCCATAAAAAGGAATCTAATTCCCACCTAACAAAGTGATATAGATCAATCGATTCCGAATCAAGCAACATGGCAGAAGTTACACTCAAAAACATGTCAGGCACACACAGTTGACTTTAGATAAACAAACCCAAACCTCTCCTGAGGCCAAACTTCCTAACTTAACATCATTTCACCCACTCTAAGGATATCTACACAAGCTAAAAGAACCCAAATTTAAGCATAAACACCAATTTCAATGAATAAGAACTCAGTTCCTTCTCTATAACTTACAAAAACAATCACACAAGCTTCAAAATACAAAGTTCGTTACTTTAAACATAAATTCTCGATTCTTCTCAAATTCGAAGACAAACAAAATCAACCCTTTCCTTGATTAACGACACACTTTCGCATCCCAGAACAAACCCAAATGAAATCATTCAAGCAATCACACTGATTTCACTCAAATCAATTTAAATTTCTTATAAACCAGATCGGAACCCTAATTGAGCACTTAGAGAGAAAAGGGAAGTGAAAACAAAACCTGGAGTTAGAAGAAACACCAATAGGTTGCTGAACAGGCCAAGAGAAACCAGGACCTTGGATTGTGAAACTTCCGTAATCAGCATCGATCAAGTCACAAATCCAATTAGCGTTTTCGGGTGACACCATCTCCTGAAACTTCCACCGGTGAAAAGGGGGAAAAAGAAAAGAACGGCGAGTTTTTTTAAACTCCCAGGTAATTGAATCTTCCCGGCGGCGATCAGAGAGATCGAAAGAGGTGAATTTTAAAGGCTAATCGATTTCTGCCGTTGGTGGAAGGAACAACCAAAGAAGGAGAAAAAAAACTGTTGGAGGAGACGAATTGAGGAATCTTGGAATCCAGAGAAATTAGAGTGGTTTTCACGCGCACTCTTCTTTTTATTTTGGGCTTTCAAAGGCCCATCATACCAATGGTTTTATTTTATTTACTTAGTTTATTTTTCATACATTGTTTTTTTTTTATGTGTTACATCATCATATATATTAAATCAAATATCTGATACTTTTAAAATAAAATTAACTAAGCAGGGCATTTAATTTTTTTAACCTAGTGGATTCTAATTCGAATTTGAAAGTATGTGGTGTATGAGTTGAAAGTATGTGGTGTATAGAGAAAATTAAAATTAACATTTCATAAACCGATAAACGGTCGGGGATGTGCCTTTAGTCAAGTGGTTAAGTCCACTTGACTCCGCTTTCTTCACTGGAGTTCGACTCTACTAAATTGCGTTACCCCGGGTAGTAAGGATTGGCTATGGATCGGGTCTTGTCGATCCAAAGATGTAAAAAAAAAAAAAAAAAAAAACCAATAAACGGTCAAAATTTCAAATATTTTTTTGTTAAAGAATAATATCAGGTTTTTTATCCACTATAAAGACAAAACATATCCATTAACAATCTTTTTTTTTGTGTTTATCAAAATCGGTATAGACGTGTAGTATAGTGGCAAATATTCCTGTTTTTAACCAAATAAAATGGATTTTTTTTTGTGTATGTTTCGACTATCTTAGCAATAAGCAAAAACCTAACCACGAATCTGTACTTATCAAGAATCTGTCACCATTAATGCTGGTTTTGATTAGTTTTTTTTTTTTGTTTTAGTAATATGTGTTTTCTATTTGTTTATTCATGTATTCATGTTCGTGGATCGAACCGATAATATCTGAGAACATGGTTGGAATGGTCGTTTGGTCGTGATCTAGGAGATTATTCATTCTTCTGCTTCCTCCCGTACATACATGAAAATTCCTATAATATATTGGTATCATTTGATAAAATATATAACATAACATTAACATATTATATTAACCGAGTGTTCTTGGTCTAGTGGTTGCCACTTGTGAAAGAGTTGCCCCGTTGGTCTAGGCCAGAGATCGATTCTCCGCAAGCGCGCAATTGCTAGATCTCCACTTGGCCACATGGATATGGGTCTTTGCTTTCGGTCCATTTGCATACCCGGACAGAAAGTCTATCTGTGGGTTGCACCTCCCCCAAGGGATTAGTCTGGGCCCCTCCATAGGTCAGGATTCCCCTGAGTTATAAAAAAAAAAAAAAAAACATATTATATCATACATATAGATACGAACATTTTGTTTTTGTTTTTAAGATACACATTAATATTATTATTATTAACTTCTCAACTAGCATAATTGAGATCATATATTCGTGTCAACTTTTTAAATATATAAATATAAGATGCCCATCGACATCTCAGGTTCAAAATCCAAAATTTAACAATATATGGGTAATTTGATCGGTTGTTCTTTTTTTTTTTCCTAACTTTGGATCGATAAGGCCCGATCCATAACAAATCCCTATTACGCGGGGTAACGCGATTTAGTGAAGTCGAACTCCGGTGGAGAAGGCGGAGTCAAATGGACTTAACCATTTGATCGGTTGTTCAAACACACAGAAATAGAAGAATCTCTTATGGACAATATGTTTAATTTTTTTCTCCCAAAATTATATAATAGCACATCTTTCTCTTTTTAAACCAATACTCAAATCATATGCGTCAACTTATTTTCTTCCAAAAATATACGGAAACCCACATTGATAAATGACTTATCAACTACTGATTATGGATGAGGTATATTCTCTAGAGATATTGGACTAAAAATATTTTTTAGTAATTTTTTTGTTTATCCATGATTCTCCTCTTTTTTTTGGTTATCTTCCATATTTCTATTTTATATATGCATATATTTTAATAAGATATAAAGTAATATACTCAGAAGATTATCAATTTTTTCTATTATAGCTTTTCACTACTATTAATTGAAAATATGATCGGCTAAACCAGTTGATGTTAGTTTGATTAATGTATGCAGAAAAGTGGCATTATGTATCAACTTGACTATTTGTAATAAACTACAATATTCCGAATCAAATGTTAATAATATGAATGCTATACATAAACAAGTACTTACATAACTATTTTAAAGTTTGACTTGTTCTTTTCCCAAGTTCCGTGAAGGCATGAATTTTGCCATGACTCCAGATTTTATTTAGTTTACCTTATCTCCATATTTAGAAAAAAATTCAACAGGAGTTGACTAAATCATATAATAATGTATGCGTTTTCTAGGTTATATTCGTTCGATGTTCAAGAAAATTAATCGATTACGTGTTATAAGTTATAACTGGTAAGAACAATATTTATCTCTGGTTTAGTGAATTATCAAATGACCAATAGACCATTATAATAGTAAGATGGTGGAAAATAAGAAATACCAGAATTTAACTAACGTTTTGATGTAATGATAATGAACAATGTAAAGTTAATTTTCTACGTGATAAAAGGTTAATTTTATGTAACGAACCAGATTTCTACACATATGAGCGTTATGCATTATGCATTATGCATTATGCGTGTATGTTAGTCATATGGCAAAATCATTTTGGAAAATATGGCATGTATTATCCACGATTTTATAATATTTTTGGTAAGTTACGTTGTTTTCAGTAGTATGTATATAAAAATTATAGTTATATCCAACAACAAATTATTGCTTAAGAGAATGTAGGTTTTGACCCTACCGCAATCAATTTTGTTTTTACAACTGACACAAATACATTCAAGTCAAATTGAATCTAATAATTCTTATACCAACATCTTGATTTTATCTGGTGTCATTTAACTATATAAAATCTAGAACAACCTAAATAGAAAACAAACATTTACCTTGAATCAGCTAATCAAGTGGGGTTTCAAGTTG